TACAACAATTCTAAGTTCCATCAGTTTTGATTGAGGGTTTTAAATGAAAAAATGATCAAGGAAAAATGAATATGCAAGTTCGGTTCTTACTATATCACCTGGCCTTTAGATTATCGAACTAGCGATATGATCTTCGCGAAACCAATTTAGCTTTATTGACTTGTCATGCATCATGCTAATACAATCAGATCGTGTGACCTAAGGATCTCTTCACTGGTACATTTACAATGAATTAAAAAGATATTAAGTATATTAAAGGAGCTATTATTTATTAATTATTAATTTAATTTTCAAACCAAAAAAAAAAAAATTATGTATAAAAATATCATTTTGTAACAATTACATACAACATAATTTTTAAATCAAGGCCCTGGCATTCTTGTAGAATTTAATACAAAGTTACGATTTAAATTTCAAATTCAGTTCATTAGTATTCAACCTACCTATTTAGTTATGATGATAATCCAATTTTACTACTACAGTATACCTTCATTTTTGTTGTTAGTATATACACCAGTGATTTATGTTTTCTTCATTTTCTTTCACCGATAGCATCCTTACCTGATACAGTCGTCAGTTTCAATGATCACTTAGAAGAATATTCACGAACACAGTTTGGTTGTTCACCTGTTTGGCTTTTGTGCTCTTTTTATTTTCATATTGATAATTAACGAAATTTTACGTGATTTGTTTTTGATTTCGTTCTGTTAATATTTTGGGAAAGGAAGAGGGGGGGGGGCTTTGCCCGAAATAGCTGATTCGCCAGAGATTTGAAATTGGTGTGTATTCGTAAATCAGCAAATGGCCCGTCTGAGCTAACCCGTAGGATTTTTATTTTTTTTTTTTTAATGTTTATTGTGACCTCAAATTAAATATATAATCACAATACAAAGTTAGGTCTGTAATGGAGCCTTACAAAGAGTAAATACTGTAACTAGATACAAGACAGAGTTAACATCAGGGAAAAGGGGACTGAGACATTACGAGAAGTATACTTCAAAACTTGGTGATGCTGAGTCATGAAGCCAGGGAGGTTGAGGTCACTGCTCCTTCAGTTTCAATTCCATTCCCAACTAATATACTTACTCGTATAGACAATAATGAAGAAGCTAGAACTCAGAAATTTGAATGATTCATCCGACGGAATACTATATCCAGAGCACCAATTATCAAGGGAATTTCAGCAATAATCTTGTGCTGGCTGTGCTTCACAGCTGTTGCAAACTGGTACTTTCAAAAATTCCATTTCATTTTGGTCGATCTCATTGAAACCCTGTAGAAACTGCTCTCTCTAAATTCTACAACCTTCTGTGCGCTGTAAAATTGTCGAATTGTCTCTGTCCTAGGGGGCGGCGGCAGTTTTGTTTCGGCGGGAACACCACCAGGTCAGAAAGAAGAAGGCGGTGTGGCGACATACAATTTTGGTACGTTTATCATTGTTTTTACACATATTATTTTTCTTTTTTCTTTCAACAAAAAAGAGCACTCTCCGAGTTCTGCCGATGACGTGCCCAATAGCGGATATCGGCAGCCATCCAAAGTGTATAGTTAGTTTTTAGTGTATTTTCCGAAGAAAATACACTATTGTTTAGTTATTTAGTGTATAATTTTTTTTTTTTTATTTATTATTTTTTTTTTTTTTTTTTATTAGTATTAAGTGACCTTTTACAAGAAAATATACACTTTGTCTCTAAATTTGAATAAGGTAGAAAATACAAACGACCGAGTAGTTTGTAACTTATCTAAATATGTGAGTGTTAAAAAGTATTAAAATTAATGGTTCAAACCAAGGGGCTGGCCAGTTCCCACGGTTTCACCCGTTTGAGGCGCCTGTACTCATTTGAGTTATCTAGTAATAATAATGCCTCTATATTGGGGTGGTGATGGAGTCTTCTCTCATACTTTGTTGCAACTTTAGTTATAAATTGAGAGACAGTTTCCATCCCCAAGTCTCTATGGATATCAGAATTTCGCTCGCACCATCGTGCTCCAACTATTTGTCTCAAAGCACGATTTTGGACTCTTTGTAAAATTTTTATATTGGACCGTGCTGCACACCCCCAGATTTGAGCTCCATATGCCCATGTGGGTCGTACAGTTTGTTTATATAATAGAAGCTTATTACTAATACTTAACTTAGATTTTTTACCTATTAACTAGTATATAATTAACAAAAAAAAAAAAAAAAACTCAGAGTTTATGGATCAAGTCATCGAAAACTCAAATTAACAATACTATAAAATATCAAATGTACATTGAGAAATTAGGAAATGAATGAAAATATGAGGAAAAACGTAATTTGAGAAAAAAATTTAAAGTGTCAATCGAGTGGCGATTTAACTTCTCATAGTGCCCATCCTACTGAGTTCACCGTGAAGTTCTCTCATACTTTCCGAGCCGAAACGCTACTTCAAGGACCTAGTCCTCTGGGAATTTCGAAAATGTTCCTAGTTTTGGAATTGATCCTACTCTGATGAGCCGAACGGTCGCGACACGTCGCGGTTTCCGTTTCCCGAAAACGCCACGTCGAAGCAAGTTGCGACAGTGTTTTTGCTTCTACTGAAATTTCTCGAAAGTATGATCATCCAGATGTAAAAAAATGGAAAATTTCAGATCTGGGACTATTGACGCGAGAGTCACCTTGAGACTTGTTTGTCGGTGATGGAACTACAAAAACGCGCACCTCGGAAGCGCTGTTTAAAACATTTCGCTCTTACTTTTGATATATTGCAGAATTCAATGGCTTTTTTACGATGAAACCTTTCCCAATCGGAAATTTGACCTTGGGCAGATCGGAATAATATTGTGGCAACCTTAGCGAGATTGTGAGCATATTTCAACAGTAAGGTTGGCCTGAGAATCTTGGTACAATATACCATCAATACTGGATATATAACCTTAGTATTTTAATATTGCACCAATATTAGCAACATTAGAAATCCAAGGTCAGGTGGTGCTCGGTGATTCCAAGATTGTCACAATGTTGTCACAATATTGGTTATACAATATTGGTAAACTAATACTGTCGTAGAGTTATGTTTTCAATATTGCAGTAATATGTTAGTTTTAACATTGGCGCATTATTAAAAAAAATACTGAACATAGGCTTCTGCTTATAATATTGACACAATATTAGGAAAACAAAATTGCCAAAATAATATCGAGACGATGTTATCTCTGTGATACTGCGGTATTGTTATTATGTTAACATTCAATTAACGTTAGAACAACAAACATAACAGGCTTCTGTTCGTAATATTGTCATAATATTGACACAATATTGGATATCTAAAACTGCTGAATTGATATTATGCTAACATTATTTTTACAACATTGTGGTAATATTCGCACTTTAACATTGTCACAAGATTAAGAAAATAAACATTTTAGGCTTCTGTTTCTAATATTGTCATAAGATTAACACAATATTGTGCGCGGCGAGCACAATTCGACCGTGTTTGCTATTTCCGCCACCAGGGCGCGCTCGCCGCGGATCTGCCGTTGCGGTCCCTTTAAGGGCAAATTAAAGGGCAAAAACTGCGACCTTTCGCTTTTTGACGTAATAGGCACATGATCCATAGGCGTCTAACCCATCTTACCGATATTCTTAGGCCAAAGGCTCAAATGGAGCTTTTTGGCAACGGTCCGCGCGCGGCCGCCCCGTCAATGGGGCTGGTTCTCGTTTTCGCCTGGGCAGTGCCCGTTACAAGTGGTTTCCAAGTTGAGTACTTTAGCCAGTGCAAGCAGCCAAGAAAGTAGCTGACCTAGGAAGGTTCCTCGGCACTCCAATGTTCCGTATGCCTACATTAGGCATTGCGACGCTATGAAATTTCTTCCGCGAGGACGGCAGGTAATACGGCGTTCTAACGCCTACCTTGCCTCAGAGGATAGAGTGGAAATCCAAGCTTGTCTCAGAGGCAAAATAAATATCCTGCCAATACTATGGCAATATTTTAACATTAAGTCTATGGCAACATTATGATCACAACATCCGCTGAACAAGCTTGGAGCAATATTATTAACATAACGTTGTCACAATATTGAATATCCAAGTTTGTCTCGGAAGTAAAATAATGTCCCACCAATATTGTCAGGATAGGCTTGGAGCAGTCTTACAAACCTAACCTTGGCACAATCTTTGGGCTCAAGCTTGTCCCAGAGGTAAAATAAATGTCCTGCTAACATTGTGGGAACATTAGCAAGATAAGCTTGGCAACTCTATTCAAATGTGAAAAAATGTCATACTAAGCTTGTACCAAGGTCAAATTTCCGATTGGGTAGGGGATGTCCTGTACCGAGTGAGAAAAAGATCACGCACAGTTTCGTTTCATGGAGACGGGTAGCTAACTTGCAAAAAAGTATTCAGTGCTAGGAAATCTGCACTGTCGCAAATCGAGATACGTGTCTTGTGGTTCCATCACATAGTTTCATTCCGAAAATTAGAGACGAATCTCCTCTGTTTCTGTGACGTCAAATATTCATTAAATTCGCTAGCAGAGAAAATACGCGTGCAGATTAAAATGAAAGCACTCCCGGAATGGAACCCTAAATTTCCCGGAGCAACGAAAAAGCCAACTGGGGATAAAAAATATCGACATCAAGTTTTTTATTTTAAAAAATTTCCATTGGTTTTAAGAGCATTTGGGTTACAATTTCAGCCGTGGTTTTGATTTCTGAATATGTTCTGAGCTTTCGAAATGAATTTATCTCAAATTTGGCAACGTCGCCAGCATTTTTTACACTTTTGTGCTTTCCCCAAAGTCAATTTTTGTTTTCAATCTATGACTCGCAAGCAAACGGTAATTTTCTAAAATATGTTCAGTGATGTATTTTTGCCAAATGATATAGAAATAACTTCTCTCAGCTGTATTATAATTAGATTATTTTATTTTTTGTCAACCTCCAGGGCATTTTTGTCCGACCTGGGCACCTTTTATCAAGATTCTGCGCTGCCTATTGTATAAAATTCATTCTTCGAATTCAAAATTCGGATTCGCATGATGATGACTAATAACCGAAGTTTTGATCAATATGTTTCGAATATATGGAGTAAGCACTTTGGCAAACATACGTGGGCCATTATGCACAAAAAAACCAGCGTCTGTCACAGCACTGTACCCTTTGATCAACAGTCTACGCCAAGATGTCTTATATTATGCTTAGTGCCTTCTTTCATCAATGTCTCATTGAATACATTAAGTGCTAAGGTGTTCCACTCTGTTCTCATTCCTTCTATCAGGAGATACCATATCTTATTCTTCTCCAGCTAGGATGAGCCGCTTGAGTAACTGTTTGCAATTTTTTGGTTAATACTTCGAATTTTAGAACGAACAAGTGTGACAATCAGTTTAACCTTGTTCTCTCTATTTATAAGGCGAAATTTTTGGGGAAGACCTGATAAGGGAACTGGAGCCCGAAGGATGGCAAGGATACGGTGCAAGAAAGTGGGGTAAGACGTCTGTTTAGTGAATTCCTATACAAACAACCGTTAGTGCTCCTAAGTATTAAACTTGGATATGACGTTACACATCAAGTATAGATGAATCTGTGATATAAGGAATTGTGAATATGTTTTATTTTTCTCCTTTATCAATGAGATGCGATTTCATTTTTAGGATATACTTGCTATGTTTGTCATTTGCTCTGTCATCATTACTTTTGAAAAATCATAATATATTTTGATTGTGCGCACATTTTTGCATTTAAATTTTGGCAATGAGCGCTAGTTCTAAATCTAAATCTTGGATCTCGATGATAACTAGCTTTCATATATATCACAGTCAAATGAAGTTGTCTGCAAAATCACAAAAAAACCCATGATCGTTTCCAAAAACAATTATAGGAATTTTTTTTAAGAAGAGGTAATACTTTGCCATTCATTTAAAAAAGAAAAAAAAACCTTTAATACATTTCAACGGGTTTACCCTTATAGTGTATATGCTATAACCCCTTAATGCATGAGCTAATCGCCGATTTTGAAGTGAAAAATAGTTGACGGTATTTTTCGATTCTGGAGAAAGACGCGATTGAATATATTTGATTTTTCTTTTTGAAATATTGGAAATTCGAATCCTAATCTTCCCTCTAATAAAATACGTTTTTTTGCTTTGGTGCAATTTAATACTACAAAGTAATAAGTAGTATAAGTAATAAAAAAAACCATCTGTTGCTTTCATGTGACAGTATGCGACCAAGAGACTGACTTGTTATATTTTCCAATGCATTTCTGCTATTAAGGTTGAAACATGTCTGCACATCAAAGCGGCAACCAAGGATTATTGGCAACTGGCACGAAACGTATCTTCTTATAAGTGGATTATCCAATCCCTCCATTTTAAAGCTCAAAGTGCCTTCCTAACGGTTGGATTTTTTTTTCACAGCCAAAGGCAGAGAAAAAGTTGGCGGATACGCAAATACAGGCCTCAAATGTAAGTTTTATTACCATAAATTTCCTTATTTTTTACAAAAATGCTTTACAATGTAAGTCGTTAATTAGCTACATCACCAAACACATCATATCTGTGACGGACAAATCATACTTTTTTGTAAGACTTTTACACATATATTTCGAATTAGAGTTCGCCCATCATATCACATTTTATCATTTACAATCATAAGGGTAGCGTGTCACGCTAATCGTGGCACGACACGAACCCGTGAAGTGGCGCACTGGAAAAAGAACACATCGGATCTAGAGTCCAGACTCTTGAAAACATCGACGAGAAAAAATACTCTTATAATTCAATCGGATTTGTACATAAATCAAGAATCAAGCCTCTTAATTTGAGCGGATTTCTTCTTGATTTAAGCAAAAATCTGATTGAATCAAGAGTATTTTTTCTTGTCAATGTTTTCAAGAGTCTGGACTCTAGATCCAATGTGTTTTTTTTCCAGTGCGATAATTGATTATTCACGCTTCGTCACTGGCACAAACCGGTGTTTCATCCCCTTTCCGCTTCCTTCTTGTGTCCGCTTTCCATCACATTTACCTTATTAGATACTGGTAAAAGTAAGCACCTGTTTACCTTGTGTCGTCCATCCCAGTTCGTTCCTATACTAGGGCCCACGAACGATGATCCCTGAGCCGCGGGTATTTCTTGCAAACACTGGCAACAGCGACACCCCGGCCCGGACCGAGTCTTGAGTTCGGGGACAATGCCGAGCCGAGCCACAATCGAACCCTAATTACTTACGTGTAATTTCCAATTTCACCCTCCCACTAGAAAAAACCAAAATTTGTTGAAAGTTGTGTAACATTTTTTTTGCAAGTGTTTCGTTACTCTCCTTTAAAACACGAGTAAAAAGATGCCTCGTTTATAAAAATCGGTCAAATAGCAGCAAAGTTACAGTTCGAGATACGATGTTATAAATAAAAATTGGACTTCGCTTCAAAACGGAAAAAGAAGAAAAAAATAAAAATTGTATATAATAATTATATATGATTTAGCTCAGAATTTTACGAGCAATCCAATCATGTAATGGACGAAGAGATTGGGGAAAAATTCCAAGAAATTGATCTTTTACGAAAGGGCTTCCTATGAAGAATTTTGACCTGAAGATAGGGGTAGAATAGCAGCAGTTCGCATACAATAGCTTTTTGCGTTCACAATACCCGGTCTCGTCGATATGCGTGCTCGACCTTGCAGCGTTGTCATTTGCATGGTCCATGCGTTTATTTGCCCGATTTTTCAGGGATCATCGTTCGTGGGCCCTAGTATAGTTGCCTATCTGTCTTCCATTTGCAATGACCATTAATAAATCCGAGGGTCAAAATGTTGAACAAATCGGGCTTTGAATAAAACGTCAAACCCTTTCCGCCCTGGTAAAAATTGGCAATAGAATCTGTGTTCCAAAATACCATAGACCTACAGCCGGCTGTAAGATTCCCAATAGCTTCTACAGCCGGCAACACAACTTCTTATAGCCTTTTATAGCCGATGGCGATTAAGCAACAGCCTGGCGATAAAGTGTATGCTAAACGTTACTAATTACGGATGCTAGGACTTAGTGAGTTTTTGGACTACCGCTCTCTTTTTGGGCCGCAGTATCTTGATTTACTTTGCGAGGAAAGCTCCGTACTTTTGAAGGATGCCTGCCATTCCTAATATGTTGGAGCGCCTTCAATTTCGTACGATACTGTGCAATACCTCTGGTGTGAAATAGCTGCTTCAAGCGTTGCGGTACGCTGCGGCGCGGCGCGGCGGGCGGGCAGCCAGCGCTGAACGCGCATTGGCGCCTACAAACCTAACAGGGATACTTCACGCATTGCGCAATGCGTGAAGTATCCCTGTTAGGTTTGTAGGCGCCAGTGATCCGCCGCTCCGCTTTGTGTTAGGCTCTAATATTTAATCTCGTGGAGTCAGCGTTTTTCAACTCATGACTTTGAAATGTTTGCACACTCTGTATGGATTATTCTCATTTTAATTGATGAAAAAAAATATGTATTAAAGGAAAATATTAATGTGCGTTTTGTAAATATTAAGTCGATTCCGTACAAACTTTGGGATTTGCAAAGCACACGAATTTCTACACAATTTCTATAGCCTTTTATAGCCGATGGCGAAAAAGCAACAGCCAGGCGATGAAGTGTAAAGCCCGGTGATAGGAACCATAGCCCGGCTGTATAATTTTTTATCGCTTCGTGTAGCCCGGCCGTATGATTTTTTCCACTTTCTACAGCCAGCTATATGATTTTCTATCGCCTTCTTCAGTCGGCTATAAGAACTCCTATGGTATTTTGAAACGCAGCTCCTATCGCCAATTTTTACCAGGGCGCCGCGGGCAACTTTACATTGAATTATCAGGAAGTAAAGCAAAATATAGTTTAAAAACTCACAAATTGGAGAGAAATAATTCGAATATTACGTGGTTGATACATTTTGGATTTTTGCATGAATTTTTTTGTTTATAAATTTATATTCCATTTATAAATATATATTTCTGTTAAAAACGCGAAGCGCAGGGGGGGGGGGGGGGGTCGCAAATCGGTCGAGTGGCTTAGCCCCCTAGCTTCAAAAAATTCAGCGTTGCTTACCCTGGTTTTCTTAGGAATATTTATTTTTCTATAAGTCTACAATTATAAGTAAATGCTACATCAGTCGACGTTTGGCAGCACGGTAACCGCATACTCCAATTCTGAAAATACTAAGAGATATCAAAATATAGTGAAACTTTTTTGAGGTCGAATTGACCCGACTATCTCTTCTGGGGGAGTTATGGGACCCGCCCATGAGCTTTAGATGTAGGTCTACAAAAACCTCATTAAAAAGGAATTGCAGATATAAACCTGAAATAAAACGAAAGAAGGTCTACAAAAACCTTCTTAAAAAAGGAATCAGACATGCACCTGAAAGGAAAAGAAAGAATCGAGCACCAACACAGCCAAAGACAGGAAAGACGTATTCGGGTCTTTTTTTAAACTTTTCTCCCGAATCTGAGCGACACCTCATCGGCAGCATATAGCGGAGCATTACGAGTGCACGCCTCACGCCATGGCGCCTTCAATATTGCAGATGCAACACGGACATCCATTGAGTACGAATAGTCGTATCTCTGCGCCGTGATCAATGCGCGTCTTTTCTCTTGCCCTTTCATATTGTGTCGGTTCCGTTTGTCTTGTTTGTAGTGGTGCTTCAAAGGTTACGTGAGTAACAAAGACAAANATTTTTTTTGAAAATTGGATGAATCCTAGCGTGACGGTGAAATGGTTAATGAAGCGTGAGTAATTGGGGTACGGGTATCGGCCGCGTTGGGACCCAAGGCCCATTGTTCTTCGTGACGCCGACGCAGTGATCAGGAGCGTGGGGACGAGAGGGCTTAGTGGACTCCTGTATGAGCCACGTTTAGCAAATGGTCTAATGAGTCTCGAGGCTCATCACAGATTGCACTTACCACTATCCTGGTGGCCCCGGCTATCAGAGCAAGGAGTACCAACTTTTGAAAAGGATAACAGTGTTGTGGAGATATGTCAAAGCAACGTTGTGAACAAAACGGAGTGAGTGAAATTCTCATTCAAGGAGTGCCGAACTGGTCAGCCATCCTCGAATCAGTTCGCTTGCTTCCGCTTATATATGCATATTTTAAATCAGCGCGCCCCATTCTAAGGTTTTTTTAAAAAAAACCAAGAAACGTAGACTCTTGGTATTCATTACACATAAACTAGCGAGCCCCAGAATGAGAAACAAATTTTAATCATTATTATTGACGGATTAGTAAACTTTTTACACGCTTTGGAAAATCTCAGAAGTTCGCGGTAGTCACTTTTCGGTAAGGAACTAGGGGACTCGGTTATTGTATCGAGGGGGGAGTCGAAACGATCGCAAAGGCGGTATACTACGTATACGCGCCAATACTCTTATAATTCAATCGGATTTGTACTTAAATCAAGAATTAAGCCTCTTAATTTGAGCGGATTTCTTTTTGATTTAAGCAAAAATCTGATTGAATCAAGAGTATTTTTTCTTGTCAATGTTTTCAAGAGTCTGGACTCTAGATCCAATGTGTTTTTTTTCCAGTGCGATAATTGATTATTCACGCTTCGTCACTGGCACAAACCGGTGTTTCATCCCCTTTCCGCTTCCTTCTTGTGTCCGCTTTCCATCACATTTACCTTATTAGATACTGGTAAAAGTAAGCACCTGTTTACCATGTGTCGTCCATCCCAGTTCGTACCTAGTTGCCTATCTGTCTTGCATTTGCAATGGCCATTAATAAATCCGAGGGTCAAAATGTTGAACAAATCGGGCTTTGAATAATACATCAAACCCTTTCCGCCCTGGTAAAAATTGGCAATAGAATCTGTGTTCCAAAATACCATAGACCTACAGCCGGCTGTAAGATTCCCAACAGCTTCTACAGCCGGCACCTCAATTTCTTATAGCCTTTTATAGTCGATGGCGATTAAGCAACAGCCTGGCGATAAAGTGTATGCTAAACGTTACTAATTATGGATGCTAGGACTTAGTGAGTTTTTGGACTACCGCTCTCTTTTTGGGCCGTAGTTTCTCGATTTATTTTGCGAGGAAAGCTCCGTACTTTTGAAGGACGCCTGCCATTCCTAATATGTTGGAGCGCCTCCAATTTCGTATGATACTGTGCAATACCTCTGGTGTGAAATAGTTGCTTCAAGCGCCGTGGTACGCTGCGGCGCGGCGCGGCGGGTGGGCAGCCAGCGCGAAACGCACATTGACGCCTACAAACCTAACAGGGATACTTCAGGGATACAGTGCTCCGCCGCTCCGCTTTGTGTTGGGCTCTAATATTTAATCCGTGGAGTCTGCGTTTTCAACTCATGACTTTGAAATGTTTGCACACTCTGTATGGATTATTCTCATTTTAATTGATGAAAACAAATATGTATAGTAAAGGAAAATATAATGTGCGTTTTGTAAATATTAAGGTGATTCCGTAAAAACTTTGGGATTTACAAAGCACACGAATTTCTACACAATTTCTATAGCCTTTCATAGCCGATGGCGAAAAAGCAACAGCCAGGCGATAAAGTGTAAAGCCCGGTGATAGGAACTATAGCCCGGCTGTATAAGTTTTTATCGCTTCGTGTAGCTCGGCCGTATGATTTTTTCCACTTTCTACAGCCAGCTATATGATTTTCTATCGCCTTTTTCAGTCGGCTATAAGAACTCCTATGGTATTTTGAAACGCTGCTCCTATCGCCAATTTTTACCGGGGCGCCGGCCGCGGGCAACTTTACATTGAATTATCAGGAAGTAAAGCAAAATATAGTTTAAAAACTCACAAATTGGAGAGAAATAATTCGAATATTACGTGGTTGATACATTTTGGATTTTTGCATGAATTTTTTTATTTATAAATTAATATTCCATTTATAAATATATATTTCTGTTAAAAACGCGAAGCGCAGGGGGGGGGGAGGAGGTCGCAAATCGGTCGAGTGGCTTAGCCCCCTAGCTTCAAAAAAATTCAGCGTTGCTTACCCTGCTTTTCTTAGCAATATTTATTTTTCTATAAGTCTACAATTATAAGTAAATGCTACATCAATCGACGTTTGGCAGCACGGTAACCGCATACTCCAATTCTGAAAATACTAAGAGATATTAAAATATAGTGAAACTTTTTTGAGGTCGAATTGACCCGACTATCTCTTCTGGGAGAGTTATGGGACCCGCCCATGAGCTTTAGATGTAGGTCTACAAAAACCTCATTAAAAAGGAATTGCAGATATAAACCTGAAATAAAAAGAAAGAAGGTCTACAAAAACCTTCTTAAAAAAGGAATCAGACATGCACCTGACAGGAAAAGAAAGAATCGAGCACTAACACAGCCAAAGACAGGAAAGACGTATTCGGGTCTTTTTTTTAAACTTTTCTCCCGAATCTGAGCGACACCTCATCGGCAGCATATAGCGGAGCATTACGAGTGCACGCCTCACGCCATGGCGCCTTCAATTTTGCAGATGCAACACGGACATCCATCGAGTACGAATAGTTGTATCTCTGCGCCGTGATCAATGCGCGTCTTTTCTCTTGCCCTTTCATATTGTGTCGGTCCCGTTTGTCTTGTTTGTAGTGGTGCTTCAAAGGTTACGTGAGTAACAAAGACAAAGATAAGAAAAACGTAATAGGGCCTCGTTGTTTAAGATGTCTCCCGAATCTGATCGACACCTCTTTGACAGGACAGAACGGAACATTGCAAGTTTTTAATTCGCGTTCACGCGCCTTAAATTTTGCAGATGCATTACGCACATCCGTGAAGCACGAAAAGTTGTACCTCTGCGCCTTCATTAACGCGCGTCCTTTCCCTCGCTCTTTTTCAATATTGTGGTTGTTTTCGTTCGATGCATCAAAGGCTACATGATTGACACAGCTGAAGATAGGAGAGACGTAATCGGGCCTCGTATTTTTAAATTTATTCCCTGAATCTCAATCTGAGGTACCCCTTTGGCTGTGTAGAGAGGAGCTCTACTCGTTCACGCCTCATGCCATCGCATATTTAATTTTGCAGATGAAACACAGACATGCGTCAAGCAAGAATACTGCCGTGCTGAAAAAGGGCGTCGTATGAACTTCTAGATGTTGCCAGATTTTCTCGGTTAAAATACGAATTTTCATATTTAAAAGTTCACAACTCTCCCCAACAATAAAAATTGTATCGGAGAAAATTTGGCGATTTTTGGATGCTCATAAGGCGTTTTTCCTCAGCACGGCAGAGCAGTTTTTTCTCTGTCATCAACATGTCTCGAGGTGCCTCTTGATTTTGAAATTTGAGAAAAATCAAGGTGCCAATATATAGGTTTGCTTACAATATGCAATGATGCGTCCGAATCAATTATTCCTCAGAAAAAAAGTAAAAAGCGCCCTGAAGGGTGCACTTCTAAGAGTTGGTATTTTGGCGAGAGGTGTGTCGTGTCAGGCAATGTTTTTTTTTTTTTTTTTTTTTNTTTTTTTTTTTTTTTTTTTTTTTTTTTTTTTTTTTTTTTTTTTTTTTTTTTTTTTTGATAACTACCCCTAGAAATCGCAAGCCGGATTGAATTCACCCGACCATATTTTCTGGGGGAGTTACATATTGTATGTTGGATGAGAGGGCGAAAAAGCGTCAGTGTGGTACCAGAAAGGTGGAAATTTTAAAAAAAAATAAAAAATATTTATATCCCTTTTATAAATAGAAAGAACAGAAGAACTTAGATAATACCTACTCTAAAAAGTATCAAAATCAATGTGCTTACGTACGGATCAGTTTGAGCCAACTTCTATATTTGCGCATAAAAAAGGTCTTGGGCATTGAAGGGTTAAGGCTTTAACCGTTTTTACGGTATGCAAAATTGAGCGAATTGCGGCTTTTCGCAGATAGGAGTGGGGCGGAGAACTGTTACCCCTCACGGAGAGATTTCTCAAGGACTGCAATGGAACTGTTTGGCTAAATTCAGAAAAATAATAAAGGACTTTAATCGACCGGAGGCAAAATTCTCGGTCTCTCTTTGACGTGTACTTATTACTTGCAGATCGGAACCAATTTATGACGAGATCAAAACGAGAAAATATATTTGAAGTTTTATTTCTCCCTGAGAGAAACACAGTGTTGGACATGAAACTCGACGTATATTTTCTAAAACGCTTGAACTTATTTTTCTGCACCACCTTTACTTTTTTTTGCTCCGTTGGTTGCGATATAGAGTTCGAAAATAAATCACCTGGAAACGTCAAGTCTAAGATTCTTGAAGTTTGGAATTTTTGGCATAGCTTTTGGAAAGCCAAGGAGGCAGCATTATTTTTATACTTTCAACCCCTCAATTACTCAAAAGAAAATGTAAAAAGCTGAGCTCTGCAAAAAATTGTCTACAAAAGCAACAGCAATCCATTGATGGGTGTACGCACCCCAAATGTCTTGACTTGTCGATTATTAATTCAAGAATAGGGTACGGACAGTGGGAGCTATTAGCGAATTAAATTATCCTTTTCAGTGAAAGTATAACATTGCAGATAACTGACCGTTAATTTCATCCATATGCTGTTACCAAAAATTAATTTATTCTTTCCGATTCTTTTGCTATTATTGTCACATTCTTTATTTTCTAGCTTTTGGTATTTACAGGGCTTAGGAACAACGATAAAGTTAATAGAGTGTTGAATTCTAACGCGGTGAAGACAGTCACAGGATACGGGCAGCAAGCGATCGAAAAAACAAAAGAAGGTGAGTTTAATTTCTCTAAAACCATTATTTTTATGTGATTCCTCAGCTGCGCGAATAAGTGTTGCCTCCAAAATAGATGAGCCGACTGAATGTATGACCTCATTCTACGGCCAAGAATATACTCGTAGATTTTAAAATATAAGGAAATTACTTCAAAAATTTACCCCAGGAATGAACAATAAAGAAAACACTCGTGACGAATTATTACCATAAAAAATACAGTCCCCCGTCAGAAAAAGTCAAAACCCCGCGTGTAATCGGAATGGCACGTGGTACTCAAACACTCGATTTTCTAAACTGAAAACGGCCGAAAGTCCATTAAGGCACCTTTCATCACTTTAGGTTTGAAAAAGGAGAGACGTCCGATTTTATTATTTCCTTTCTTAAGTAATACATTCAATTGGCTGAGCAGATTCTCAATGATATCACAAAAAAGAGATTCTTGAGGGCTGGGGGGACAAGAAGGGGTGGAGTCGGCGGGCCAGTATTCTCCAAAACCTTAGTTTTAGGACATCCTCAGTGACTTGCTAATGGTTAAAATAAAAACCCGAACACAAGAACAATTCGGCATGTTTATATCGGGATACCCTCTGTCCCTAACTTCCTTTATTTCTTTTCAAAACTTCGTGCTCCTTTCCACAAAGAAGAGTACTTTTCTCAAAATAGGGTCACGCAAAATATCGAGCTATATTATCAAATGATTTGCATTCTAACATTATTAAGTTTCACCATAGTTGATACATAAAAATAATGTATGAAGTTCATATTTTTCAGGTCTCAATAGGTGGCGCCACAGTTCAGACGACGAATCATCAGGTCAAGAGGAGGAACGTGATAGCAGACGTAAACGTAAGTCATGTTTTATTATATTAAACACTTGAGCAGGTGTAGAACCCTTAAACAGGACTGTAAAGTTTCTAATATGTTTGGTTTATGTATGATTATATCGACGGTAAAATCATAGATACGCGTTTCTCGACTGTGCTTAGTCAAAAGTTCTGCTGATAATTGTTTTCCCTGAAAAAGTGCATTTATTAGGCATTTATACATGCAAGTTTTAAAGGAAAAAATCATGAATGCATGAAGACACTTTACAAGAAACTTTGTGTGGTAAGATGATTAGTCACCTTGAAAAAATTACAATGTGACAGGAAAATGCCACGTGGGAAACCCAGGAATGAAGTTTCGTATCTTACCTTCAATGTGTAAAATCCGTAGAAACACACCTTTTACAATCAGGCAGAAACTATACACGGAATTAAATACTCCGTGCGCACCATTCCTATGAAGCCATTTTCATTTTTCGTGATTTCCGTATGCATGAAACTTCATTATTTTATAGATTACGCATACTGAATAAAAATAATTTCGGTAATCTATAGCATAAGCTCTCAAGCCTCGTAAATTTTCATTTCTAGTAACGCTTAGTTGTAGCGTTCTACTACGCTTATTTTCAAGACTTTTACGTCTATCGACGGGTGATTGTCTCAAGACGGGTCCGCTATAATTAGATTTTGGGAAATAGACCCAAGTTTTTGTATATTACGTTGTAAAGTTGCGAATTCCTCCATTTAATCAATGTACATTTTTATTATGTCGTGTGTTCATGTCACACTTCGTTCAACACTGGGCCAATATCCATGATTTTTGCGGCTGTCGACAGAAGATAGACTCTAGATGAGCACACATTATTCAGTTTTGGAAATGTGACCCAGGTTAATCAAGATATGAGGCAATAGGCAAACTTTTAAATTCCTGGCAATGAAAAATGGCGGGAATTTCAAAGTTGGCAGAAAATTGAACTGAACAAGAGATGTCGATCCTAAGAGAGCGCGAAGCGCCCTCCAGGGGCTGGGCTGCATGGCGGCCAGGGGGCATAGCCCCCCCCCACACACACACACACACACAAACCTATTCACGCTCAATAGGCGCTGTGCTCCTCAGGTGAGAAAACTGAGCCTTCAGTCGGAAGAACCAACTGCCTCAGTTCAAAGAATTAATACATTTTAGTGAATACGTAACATGTTTCATTTTCTCTCTTTTTGAGTGTGTGTGTGCGTGTTTATGAAGGTGTATGAGTCCGTGGGAGGAGGAGGGTAGGGGGTGTCGTGCGAGATACTTTGAAAATTTCCAAGGAAACTCTAGATCCGCGGGAACGTTTTGCTAAACAACGCGACCGTACAAGAAAAATTAGTAAGAGATTAGTGGCACTGGAGGAAAGTATTGGATGACACATTTTCTGTGTTGTTTCGCTGATCTGCCTTTAAAAACAGTTAATAAGTAATGCGGACTTGGTTTTGGAACATGTTTTGTGTGAACTAAAGTTTGTCAGCTCGTTAATTGGACCTTCAGCTTGTAGAGCTTTCAGTCACCAACCGAGGTTTAGTTCTGTAAACTGAATTCAATTTCTGTCAAATTGTAATTCATTCTTTACTTATGTTTTTAAACATTCAATGCATTCCGTTTTCTTTTCATATGTTCGTATCAGGAAGACATCGAGATCATGGCAAACATCGAGATCATGGCAAACATCGCCACCATCACCACCATCATCACAGAGAGGGAAAAATGAAACCAGGTAACTCCTTTGCAGTACCTATTTCCTCTGTTACAATCTTATTAAAACACATTTCCAATTTTCAAAAAATGAGTAAAACCTACTTAAACTATGGTTTTAAATCTTGGACGCGATGCTACATAAGCGTGTTTTAATGGCAGACCTAGTTTTTGTCCAATTTTTTATTCGTATTATTATTAGTATTGAGGAAATAACTGGCTATGGTAAAAGGGGATTTCACACGGAAAAAAATAGATTGCTGATGTAACAATAAAGTTGTCAAAAAATATGTCCAACATGTTTCAAATGTACAATTTACAATAGCGGAAAGCTAATTTAACCTCGGGGGTGGTTAAATTAGCATTTTTTTATAGTAAAATCTACATTGAAAGAATTCGGACACTTGTTTTTAACAATTTCATTGTTAAATCGGCAATTTAATTTTTTCCGCACTCGGTGAGTAAATTTTTCAAGGTACTTGATTACTCTCTTGAATTGTCGTAAATAAAATATCAGTAATATAATTAAAAACCAAATTTCACATTCAAAATTTATTATCACCATTTCGAGTTTCTGGAAATTGGCGGCCATTAGAGCTTAAAAATTGTCCTAATTTTTTCCAATTTTGTTTGATAAGTAGAAGTTATTATTAATCCGGACCAATTCGTCGTCTCCCGGACGAAGGGACGTAACTCCATTCCAAGGTTGCCAGATTGACTCAAACAATTTATTCATTCGACCAAAATGTACGTGTCCGGTTTTCATCCAAAAGTCGTATGATTTTTGCGTGAAATGTGGAGAAAAATCTGTAAAATTATCAATTGAAAATGCCCAAGATTCTCCACGTTCATAGCAATAAACGACGGAAAATGTGGCAACATTGAAATGAAGTTACGTTCTTTCGCGAGGGAAACGGCGAATTTTGATACGCACGTTTCTCTCTTACAGTGGANCAATTTTCTTTTTTTCTCTCAGATCCCGGCCCCACCATGTAGAGCTCAGGTTTTTAGCGTTTTTCTTTTAAAATTTTTTATTGTTTCCGACTGAAAATGACTCAGTGTTGAGTCGAAACGTCTCGGGTTTCATAATTGTGTATTTTTAGCCTTGTTTCCCGTTTTTTTCATCTTTGTTGTTCCACTGTTATCATCGTCTCGGGCTGCTCCTAAAAATTTGTTTCTCTCTCACTCGTTTGAATTCTTTCCAGAGGATTATCAAGGAGCGTGCGTCAAGCACTGTGCGAACATTTACGGCTTTTTGTTCGAATCTTATTCGGAGGACGGAGTCCCGAGATTCTCCAACGGAGGCATTTTTCCCATCACCCGGGGCAAGGCTGAATTGAAGGAGTATGTCAAAGAAAATGGCCGAGAGCGGCGCTCTACTTATGTGTGCGATTGTAAGCCGACGAGGGATTTCGAATTAATGGTCAAAACAGCGTATCCGGACGTAGAGAACTTATTCGATAACTTCATAAAGCAGCAACACTCCGATCCCGCCGGAGCGACTCGTTCCGCGGCTCGAATTTTTGAAAAATTGAACTGGGATTGGAAGGCGTTACAAAAGGAGGAGGGAATTCAGAAGCCGTTCAATAGATATTTCTATACTGATCATAGGCATCTGCTCCAGTTGATATTTCAGGAAATGGTACAATTTACAGAGGTTAAAGCGCAAAAAACGGAGGAGGCAAAGCAGAGGGAGAGGTCCGCGCGTCATCGTCAAGACCCTCGAGCGGATAGAGCGACGACCGGCGGAGCAGCCTAGGGACAGTGATGAACACACAGTTAAAAATTCCAGTGTTTTTGGTTATTTCTTTTGGTCGGAGCTACCGAAGCGATTTGCTCAATCAACCGGCTTTCCGGTTAGATCAACTGAAACGTTCGGTTGGTCTAACGGAAATTTTATGTTACTTTGAGATTTATCTTAATCGGGGGGTTGGTTCGCGGAGCGGTTAGGGGGCGTGCCCCTTGTCAGGTTGAAAAAAGTGTGCTCACGTGCTCCTCACTTAAGGCCTAGATACACACGGCGATCATTCGGCGCGATTGAAAGACGAAAGCCAATGGAGAACCTTGATTTCGATATATTGACGTCAATGGATCGAAATCAAGGCTCTCCATTGTATTGGCTTCCGTCTTTCAAGCGCGGCGATTAATCGCCGTGTGTAACAAGGCCTTTACGTCCAACGTCTATTACTTACGTGCAAGCCGGTGCACATAAAGTAAACTATGATCACCGGGTTCAATCCTTAATTGTCATCTGTGTCCAGTTTCCACGGATTTTGAAGTATTCAACCGACAAACAACCCAATGGGGCCCATTGAGGTCGAGTGGCAAAGATCCAAGAGGAATCAACTCCGTCGTCACTTTAATGGTCATGAATGGAACACCGAAAAAAAAGTGAAGTTGATTTAACATTTTGGATGTAAAAAAAATGTGCGAAAACTTTAAAAATGCTGAAATAACTCCTACAGCAGTAATTTTATCAATGTCAAGATGTAAAACTAACTGCCGTAGCGGGTAATTTAGCATTTTGTGAGTTCTCGCACACTTTTTTTACATTCACAATGTTAATTCAACTTCAATTTTTTTTTCGGTGAAGCATTGGCGTCTTCGGTTAAGTTTCGCGACATAAAACTAAAGAGTCTATCGGGACCGCGCGCAGAGATTATATTTTCGATTAACTGCGAAAGTCATGCAGGGCTTGCTGTCCCTTTGCTAGCTTCCTTCGATTTGAAATCAAGACAATTGGAAAGTTATCTTGAGTTTACCTCATATAGGTAATTGAGGTTTTGATGGATCTTCAGAAAGGGTAAACGAATTGAAGTACCGACCTCAAGAAATGTTCTTTCTAAATTAATTGACTACATAAGTTGCCGCATAGAGGTGTAATGAGGTGCAACTATTTCTGGCTCATTTTAACAAATGTGTGCTGCCAATTTCCCCATGCAGGTAAGCGATCTGGTGGATGAGCCAGAAGTTTTATATCTTTATTGCAAAATATAGTCAAATTATAAATGTCACGTACATTTCGAGTTGAGTTTCCCCGTGCCTTGGATGAGTTACTTAGGTGGGTGTTTAATGCCCAATTGCAGCCCATATGCAGCTTGAGAGCGCTCAAAAAATACTGCTCAAATATTAAATAGAATGCAAATTAGAAAAAAAAAAAAAAAAAAAAAAAAAAACTTTTCACTTTAAATATTTTAATGTAATTTTCTACCATATTTACATTCTCTAAATAACGTGTTTATATTTATTTTTTTGAGAACGCTCGACAAATACTGCTCAAATGTCAAATAGAACGTAGATGGAAAAAAAAGCATTTTTCACTTTAAATATTTTAATGTAATTTTCTACCATATTTATATTCTGTAAATAACGTATTTGTATTTATTTGTTTGTAATGTATCTATATATAAAACATGTTTTGCTTATGAACATTGTTTTTTTTTTATTTCCGAGATGCTAGTTTTTTTACAATTGATTTTGCATTACAATGTTGGTCAGTATGCTACTCTTCTTTTTGCTTTGAAAATCATTAAATTTGGCACGGAACCACCTTTATATTTACAAAACACACATTAACTTTTCCTTGAATACATATTTTTCCCCCCTCAATTTAAATGAGAATAATCCATGCAGAGTGTGCAAACATTTCAAAATTATGAGTTGAAAAACGCTGGCTCCGCGATTTCACATATTAGAGCCTAACACAAAGCGGAGCGGCGACGCACTGGCGCCTACAAACCTAACAGGGATACTTCACGCATTGCGCAATGCGTGAAGTATCCCTGTTAGGTTTGTAGGCGCTAGTGCGCGTTTAGCGCTGGCCGCCCTCGGCGCAGCAGCGTGCGGCGCTTCAAGCAATTATTTCACGACAGAGATGTTGCACAGCGTCATACGATATTAAAGGCGCTCCAACATATTAAGAATGCGCGGCACGCCGACGCCGTTACGGAGTTATCGTACACAGGATACATTTAAGAGCCTTCAGCTGAGGCAAATCAAAAGGTTTATTTGGTTTAGGTATAACAAGATGGGATTTTCTTGAAAGACAATTAAGTCGTGTTGCATCAAAGATGTGTAGAGAGTTTTAGTGAATTTCCCCTCATGAAATTGACGCTCCCCCATGTTTACCAAAATTATCAATTATATATTTCCCTTTGTTGGACCAAAGAAACAAAAAAAACAAGCAAACCTTCATTCTTCCATGACATTATGAGCAATTGTCGTTTGGACCGATTAACTTTGGATCTCAATTGGTACGTGGACCAAAACTCCCCTGCCATAAAAACTCCTGGACGTAAACTATCGCAGCGGACAAAAAATCGTTGACGAAATGTCCTATAACCCATAAAGAGTGACCCTACACTACAACTGAACTGAAAAGTCCAACTCACTACTCACATATGATTTTTCACGTTTCTCGACCCTTCTTTGACTCCTGTATTTTATCAAACGTATCTCCAGGAGTTTCACAAATTTTATTTTTTCCTTAATTGTGTGTACAAAATTAACAGCAGATAGGCAGTTTTTGCGATGAAACCTCCTATACTTCCCTCAACTGCGCAATCATTCAAGATTTCAAAAGTAAAAAAGAGTTTTTGACCTGAAAAAAATTGTATCAATAATGCCTCAATGTGGAAATATATTTTGGATTTTTAGCTGAGCCGTAGTTTAAGGTCAATCTATTCTGGTAATCAGTGCAATTGCCAAAGCTATGCTAGCATTTCAAGGACTAGCATATTTCTCCGAAGCTAATAAATAATCAAGGATTTGAACAATACTTGGAAAATGTAAAACATTTCGATATCCTTACACATTTGCCTTTTTTCTCGGGCTAGACAAACGGAGTCACGCAGAAAAATCGAATTAACTTTCACGACTAAAATTAATTTAATACTCTTGACTCTTTTTTGGATAAGCGACGTATGTGCCAACAGTTTTCCTATTTAGATAGGTGGTTTTAAGTGTGAGTCAGAAACGGTAGTCTGCTATCGCTCAATGCAGTCCACACTGTCTCAAGTTCACCCCATAACGGCAGCAATGTGTTTTTGGGACAATGTTCATCAATCATCCTCAGTATTGACGCTATTATGTTCATAATTCTCTCAAACGCTTATCCTTCCCTCATGGACTCGTTGCAATTTATTGCTCAGGAGCCTCAGGGATTTTCTTGTTCCCGGCAACAAAACCCTGCTCTATCTCGTACAATGTCTTATTCTGAGTCTCTGGCAGGACCAATATCCCGAATAACGCTCCTGCGAAGGCAAATAATGCAAACCGCAGCAACAGACCCCAAATACAGAACGTTTCGACGTAGAACCCATAAATTTTGAGACTGACAAAGGTGCAGAAGGTCCCAACTAAGAAGGAAGCTCCCGTCATGGCACCCCTAACTTGAAGAGGGAACATTTCACCAGGCATGATCCATGGGAGGAAATTCATACCCATCGCACTGGCCACGATAGCAATCACCGTGAGCGTCACGGGTATCCACTGGAGGGGCTTTTCCGCCAACCCGCGATACGCGTACTCGTAAACCGTCGATCCGAGGAGTGAAGCGGCCATTATGAAGCCAGAGAAGGCCGTGGTGAATTTTCGTGGGACCGAGACCAAGAAATAGGCGCCCAACGTACAGTTGGTCGTGAATCTCGCCACGGCCAAGAGGACGGTGAATATCAACGGGTCGACCGTCAGCCCGAAGGCTTTGACGAAGTCGACGGTGTAGTACAAGACGTCGAATACCCCGGCAGCGTTGGTTATGAAGTGGAATATGGATAGGATTAGAAACGGTTTCCAGACCGTTGGCTCCAGGAACGCTCTGAGGTGGAATTTTCCGCTTCGGGTCCTCGTTGAGAGGGTCAGGAGGTCGAGCTCGTGGAGGATGTTCTCGTGGGAGCGGCCTAATCTTCGCAGACTCTTAGTGGAGGCCTCGATTTGGCCTGTTTTGAAGAGCCACGCGGGGGACTCGGGCGCGAAGCACTGGATGACGAAGAAACCGAAGCTGCTCAAGCTGAAGATGGTGGCTGCCATCTGCCACGGCAGGTAGCCGCCCACGAGGTAGACGAGAGCTACACCGAGCGAGAAGAAAGGCGCCGTCAGCGAGAGGAAGCAGCTTCTTTGCCGTTTTGTGCAGATCTCTGCGAGGTATACAACTGACGTCACTTCCAAACCTGAAACAGGAACATTAACGAAAGCTCGTATTATTATCGATGATCGAAGTGCGAATTCGTTCTCTGTTGTGACATTCAGGGTGTCTACTGGTCCTCAAAAGTCCCCAAAGTCTCCGATTTTGGAAAGGTGCCCCGATATCCCCGAAATTTCCCAATTTTCTTGTTCCGGTCCCAAAAAACTGACAAAAATCGTTCTAAAGGTTAGATACACACGGCGATTAATCGCCGCAAGTGAAAGACGAAAGCCAATGGAGAGCCTTAATTTCGATCCATTGACGTCGATTTATCGAAATCAAGGCTCTCCATTCAGGCCTTAAACACCGGCATTTCCAAATTTTCCCGCCAGCGCGGCGCGGCGCGGTATAACCAGGAGTAAAAAAACTGAATGTTGCTTGGTTTTTCGTAAGTTTTCATCGGTTCAACATGACTTATAGAATTAGTCGTATAAAGTACGCCTTTTAACGCTCTAATTTGCTCCCTTTCTCTTACTATCTAGGCGAAAAAAGTCCTAGATTTGCTTAAAAAACACCCCTTAAAGTCCCCGAAAGTCCCCAATTTTGGTTTTTTATAACTGGCAGACACACTGACATTGCAGATTTCCTGTCATATTTTACGAAGCGCTCAGCCGATAGGAGGCCCTTTTTAATTTCGACCTGCCAATAGAATTCTACAATACTGCCGTGCTATGGAAATACGCCGTATGAACATTCGAGAGTTGCCAAATTTCCTCCCGTGAAATGTTCATTTTTGGAGAGTTACGAATATTTTACCTCGAAGTTTTCAGATAATTTAGATCTAATTACAAAGGAAATTTTCTGGAAACTTTAACGGAATATATTCAGGAGTTTTTCTGAAAATTAGTATTGAACCTAATGAAATTTGATAACTGACAAAGGTTCATGAGGCGTTTTTCCTTAGTATAGCAGAATATTAGTGGCAATGCGTTCAAATGGCGCACCGGCTCTACGACAAGATGGAAAAGAGGGGCATCACATTTTCAGAATAGATTTATCTGCTATACTTTTATTTCATGCCTCTGATATCAAAGAGCGGAGGACCATCATCGTTTTTCTTTAATTTAATGTTTTAATGGTAGCGTACTTTTCTCAAGATTGATAGTTGACATTTTGGTGTAGTGAGTTTTTTTACTCAACGTTGCTCCTCTTTCTCGGGGAACTTACAAACGCACTTTCGTAGACGGCAGCTAAGTGCTTCTAGGAACGTATCATGCGTACGTCGTTTTCATGCATGTTTTTGCTCGATTTTTCCTCTCCATTCTAAGAATAAATGTCAAGCTTTGTAGACGGTTTTATTCTCTTCGACACAATAAAAGAGGAGTGGAAAGTTTTAAGCATCGCAATGGAAATATGAGGCGTTGCGTTGGATGCAGAAAGGGCATTTCTTGGTTGCGGTGTTTCAGAATCGCCGACGCTAATTTTTATTTTAGAGTGGAAACTATTGGGTGAACTTTCTGAAACTTTACGTTTTCAGCATTGCAAAATCACGAAGGATATTCAGTGAAAGTAACGAAAAATTACATACATTTGCTTTAAATATAATGAATGAAACGTTAGCAGTGATTTTTAGACACTGCATGCAATCATAAGAAATACCTTGTCTGCACCTAGCGCTGCACATGTGATTTTGCACTTTGACCATTGATATGTGATTGTCCATAGGCAAAAAACTTTATGCTCTGCTCCATTTCGAAGCGTTCCTGGCCATCTGAAAATTTTGCCGGCTCAAAAAGAGGTTCTCAGATCCCTTCTCCCGTGAACGGTATGATATAACACGCTAGAAAAAAATATATGATCATGTCGCGGCTCCAGTTTTTCAACATCGAGCCATTCTCTCACTGCAGGGTTTTCAATCGATTTATTGTTATATATGAGACGAGGTAGCGTTCTTTAGTCCGTAATTTTCTTAAAACCCCCCAGGGTTGGTCAAATCTCCGTCCCTGCTCGGCCCACGATTTTATTCTGCCATAAGAGTGTCAACTCAATGATATGAAATACACTATACACTAATTTTAAGTTCAGTTCATATTTGGCATTAGAAATTTGCCGACTGATATGTGGACCACATTTTTCAATGAAAAGATACTATCTCTGGCTCATCAATGAAAACCGTTATCTGCATGCGGAGAAAGTAATGGCTCAAATGATATCTCCAAAATGTTTCGTATTGAAAAACGGAGCCTATACATTATGCCACGTGCTACTCATCTACATTGACCGATTCCTATCAGAGACAAGAGACCCTCCACTAGTATCTTGGCCATTGTGGAAGCTTTTACTTTCGGGACTTCAGCATTCTACTGTTGACTTACCTACATGGTTGATGTTTAACAACGTGTTGGCAGTTTCGTTTTGCAAACAAGTCGAAAATGGCCGAAGTTTGCGAAACTTGTTTGGCTCATGACGTCACCCGAAGCTCATCATTGACCATGTAGGTAGGTCAACAGCCGAAATTGAGGTGATGACTGTTGCTCCCTAATAATTGTCCATAAGGAACTGTTGAATCCCCGAAAGTAAAATCTTCCACCTGTCGCTAGGAGGCCAGTGGAGGGTCTCTTGTCTCTGATTCCTATCTACCTGCTTCTAAAAGTCCTATGCTTTACACTGTTTATACTGCAGTAGATATTCCTATCTGTTACCTACTGTAAAGTGGATGATATCAAAACATTGAGAGTAAAAACGGGAGATAATACATCTCGATGGTAAGTAGGTGCTTAAGTTGTTTGCTGCCACTTATAACATCTCTTCGTCCTATTCATAACTGCTTTTCTACAATGAATATCACGATTCAATAGCGTGTGCAGTCTATTTTATAAAATTTGGAAGATGCTTGAGATAAGACGTGTGTGGATTGACATGTTTCTCACCTATAGCGATTGCACAGATGCACCGTCCTATGTAAATGTGGTAGACCTCCTCTGCGAAAGCAACAACGCAAAAACCAAGACCCATGCTCAGAAAAAAGCTGAGGAGCCCTTTTTTTCTTCCAAATGCATCGAGGACTGGTCCAGCAAGCAAAGCGGATATAGGCGCCAACAAAATTCCGAGACTTGCTGCAAAAAAAGGCAATCGCATTGACATCATCGTTTCTTGTCAGCCTCATCAGCTTTACACGTAAAATCAAATCATGGTGAAGATTACATTCTTCACCGATTGAGACCATCAAGGGAAACTCTGAAATTTGAAGACGCGCTAGTGAGTGGCGTCGTTTCATATCGTGTGTCATATCTTTATGGTATTTCCATAAATATTGAGTACATCAAAAATTCTTGTTTAAACGAGATTCTGACTTTTGTGCAAAAAGACTCATTCAGATTATGTATACGTTGTGCTAATAATTTATATTAGCATAAAAAGATCAATACATTACTCAAATGTATAATTTGTTTACAAGATCACTTCTTTCCCTTCAGGTATTTTAAAAATGATGCGTTTCAGGCTACCCATAAGCCCATTTTCGAGAATCGCAAACTGGAAATGGGCTCCAAGGCAGCCCGAAACGCGTTTCGAGTCAAATTATTGAAGGGAGAGAAGTGAGTTTCACTGGAAAAAAAAACACATTGGATCTAGAGTCCAGACTCTTAAAAACATCGACAAGAAAAAGTACTCTTGATTCAATCAGAATCTAGCTTAAATCAAGAACCAATCCTCTTAATTTAAGCGGATTTCGTTTTGATTCAAGCAAAAATCCGATTGAATTAAGAGTATTTTTTCTTGTCAATGTTTTCAAGAGTCTGGACTCTAGATCCAATGTGTTGTTTTCCAGTGTTGTCAAAAATTAATTTTTAATCATACATCCATTCAGATTTTTAAAAAAGTCGAAGCTTCGAGTTATTAAATGTGGTTCAAAATATAATCAAGGTGGAAGGTGCCTGAGAAAAGTACGGATTTTTATGGGAGAGACAAGGATAAAACACCCTTATCCGTCTCTCACCTTTCTTATCTCTCAAGAGTAGAGTGGGAAGTGTAAGCTGTACCAATCCACGTGGCCTCGTCCGTGGTGACGGGTATTTGACTGTCCTCCTTCTTCAACTGGTGCAGTAGCACAGCAGAATGGGCCTCGGCTACTCCAGTATACAAAAACACCATCAGCGGCCCACTTGCAGCAAATAGCTGAAATACACACGTTAATTTTGAGAATACATTTGTCAAGGCCCCTCAGAACTCTAAATTATTGATTTATTTAGTTATTTTCAATGAAATGGTCTCGTCATATGATACTTCGTCTAAAACAAGGATACGATTTACATTGTGGGAAAACGCCTGTGGCGATTGGTAGACCCTCACGAGGCTCATACGATTTGCAATGTTTCAGAATGAGGCTTAAAGTCTACTTATATATGAATCAGTTAGTCTCAAAATGGAACAGGTCCATTTTTCGATGAGTCTTAGTTAGTATGTCCTTTGATGCAATTCATGGCTCATGCAAAAATGGACTTGTTTCCGTTTGAAAATAGCAGATTCATATATCCTTGAGGATTCCTGCCAATAAATTATAAATGATTAAACTACAGACTGAGGTTTACGATTTTCTCAAAATAATTCACTTAAATGTTCAAATTTGAAATAATGCGATCTTATCCAGAATGTATCGCGCGAAAACTTGAGATCCAATTTAAGGTCAATGAAGTATTTTGTAAGGAGCACCATGTCCCCGCCTCACGGAGGAAAGAACAGCCAAATTTAGTAGTTTACATCTACCTCAAAATCTTTTAAACCTTTTGGGTCCCTGAAAGAGCTCGTAGATTCTAATGAAAACCGAAGGGGGAAAAAAAACATTGATGTAGTCCAAAGTTTGAGTGGGTAATTATACCTACTTTGATTTTGCGAGCGATATATTTGAAATGTTTCTGGTCGAAAGGATAATGTTGGGGGATGGAATACTTACTGTTCGAAACCAGCAGCGCCATGAAAGTTTTTCACTTTCATCTTCATCGGAGCTTTGTATTTTTGCACAAGCAACTTCAGTATCAACCACAAACGCCATTTTGCGAGACAACGGAATAAATCAAGCGCTAATGTCACAACTACAAAGTCATATTGACCACCGATTGTTGTCACTTTGAGGATACAACTGGGACGATTTTCAGTGTCACTAACTCATTTCTCATTGAGATCGAGTTAATTAACACGTGACATGATTAAAACGCCCGGGATGAGTAGCTTACTCTTACGAAGCATGAGAAGGTTGTACACGTAGCGAGTGGTAGTATGAGATTAACTGAAGTATATACCCAGAGCTTCATAAGGACTTTATTCTAAGTAACTCCGCAATTTATTTATTCAAAAGAAGTCAAAAATTAAAATAGATAATTTCTAAATTGTTATCCGTGTGGACTAGACCACTCCACTAAATTTACGAGTCTCAGAATAGTCACTCTAAATAGTGATTTCCTTGAGGGGAAGTTGGGTTGAAATTGAAATGATTTGGTCCATTTTATTCGAAGGGGCAAGAAATGTTTAATGGGCAACACTTTATTATGACCACATTCATAATTCCTTTCCCATGAGCACGTTTTTTTTTTTTTTTTTTTTTTTTTTTTTTTTTTTTTTTAATGAGGGATCTTTTTTTTAGGAGAAACTTTTTATTTACGTGTAAGTAGAGGTTAAGTTAAAAATAGAGGGGAAAAACACCAAAAAATTGCCCCGATCGAAATTGTTTAATAAGTCGGTGAAATGGCGTGGAGTCCACACCATTCCGCGGGGAATACAGTCAAGAAATTCCCAAAAATTTTCAATTACAGTCAAAATTTTTTGCTCTCATGAATACCAGTCCAAGCTGCCTGAGCTGAAACCTCTCCTCCCCCCTCAGTCTCGCACTGGTGCTCATTAGAGCAAAACATTTTTCGATTCTAATTGAAATTTTTTTGGAATTTCTTGGTACAGTTTTCTCCGCTAAATGGTGTGGACCCAGCACCATTTCCATACCCTGTTAAAAATAGACTTGTATTGAGGCAGTGTGGACAGAGACGCATTAGAGCAGGCAAAATATTTCGAGCCTCAAATAAAAATACAGAGAAAGAGCTTTTGTCGGGCAATGTTTTACCCTCCGGGAGTATATAAAGATTTATCCTGTGGAATAAATATTCCAAATTTTATCGACGATCAGATTTGAGGACCGTAAAATTCACAAAACGCTCGATTAAAAACTTTTTCGATTTAAATTTTTTTTTTTAACTTTTCCGACTCTTTTGACTCAAAAAAAAAAAAAAAAAAAAAAAAAAAAAACCCTCAAAGTTCAAAAGAATTAGCGGACATTATTTGGACTGCATTTTGCAATTTGGACGTAAAAATTCCGGCCCGGTTTAAAAACAACGTATGTGCCATTAGTTTCCCTATGCACATAAGTGCTTTTTCAGATGAGTCAGAATTTATAGGTCCGAATTGCATAATGCAGTCCATTTGTTCCACTGCAATATCTGCGTTAAAAAAATATTTTATTATATTAGTAAGTCAGAAATCGGAACCGCCAATACCTTGCAAAGCACTAAATAAATAAAGTATTTCTACTTTGAAAAATCCCCAAGTTCAAGAAAAGCAATCAGGTTTTTGTGCTTATTTTTGTCACCATTATACCCTCCTGGCCCATGTGAGAAGAATCCTGCTTGACATTTATGAGGAACTATCGTAGTGACCATTTGAATCATTGATATTACGCTGAGGTAAGTAATATGAAAAATTCATTATTGTTATGATTAGAATGAAATCTTTAATGTGATGAAATTAAGCAGGATTATTCAGGTGCGTTACATCTACGCAGGAATCCTCCGTCAACTGAAAAAAATGTTGACTTTTTTGTTGACCCGCATTATCTGAGTAGTTGACGTGTGGCACGTGCTGCTTTTTTTTCCAGCCAAAGATTTTAAAATGTCACATTGTGTGCTCTAAAATTAGGAGATACCTCTTACAATGATAATCACCTAGGTGTATCGCATGCATTTGCGTAAAATATACTATTTTTGAAATATTCAGAGAGCAAAACTAATGATTTTTGTTCCACATACAATTTTTTTCTTCTTTTTTGGTGTGCGTGTGTGTGTATCGCCATAGGCGGTTCTAGACCTTTATGCTTGGGGGTGCCCAGAGGAGGAGAATGTCGGAGACCGGCCCCGAAGGGGACACGGTAGCTTAGGGGAGGCCTAAGTTTCGGCCCTCAAGTTTTATCCCTTACCTACCCTCCTTTCTCTTTTTCTCTCCTTCCTCTCTACTTAAATACCTATAAATTCAATGTAGAAAAATTTTAGCAAAACTTTCCATCAAAACTACAATCTTACCATAAAAAAACAGTAGAATCTTTGTAAAACACGGCTATCAACATTAATTTTGTTTAAAACATTTTCAATTAATTGCTGGGATTTTTTCTCAGTGTGAGCGAATACAGAATCTTTATAAGCAGTATAATTTCACGGTTCTGATAACCGTACTTCATTTTTGCTTGGGGGTGCCCGGCACCCACTGGCACCCCCGTAGAACCGCCTATGTGTATCGCTGTAGGTTGTTTTAAAATTCCATGTACAAAATAAGTATTTACTTTTTTCTCTCCCAGTGATGCTTTTAGTATAAAATTCCTCTTACTTTCATTTCTCCTGAGTTTTCCGGCTTTCCGATTCTCACATCCTCTAAGTATATCCCTCGTTTTGTTCGTTAATAAAAAAAAAAAAAAAAAAAAAAAAAAAAAATGAGAACCTATAAAAACTATAGAAAAGATATGCCATGGCTATATAGCAGAAGAAAGACAAATTTGAAATGTGTAAGTAGAAAAGTAGCAGACTTTGAATAACATATAAACAAAGGTATTACTTGCATTGCAAGAGGCCATCAAAGAGTTTTTAGAATATCCACGTTGGAATTTATGACAAGAACGCAAAACAAAACAATCAATAAGATAGCTTTTATTATACTTGCATCACAAACATATCTAAAATCATGAAAACAAAAAGAGAAAACTATTATTTTTCGCTCTATAGCAGTATGTAAGTAACGTAACATTCTTAGATACTCCAAGCCAAATTGACGTTTCTTCTGTCAACGGGGCATCGGGTCAAAAGGGAAGGGAACCAGATATGAAAGTTTTAATTTCCAGGGCATCAGTTTTTTAAGAAAGATGTTCAGGATGATGGAGATTCCACAGGTTTTAGTTTATAAATCGAAAATAGTGCGCCTGCGAACTTTCGCCACTCTTGCGATCAACCGAAAATTGAAAAATAAAATAAATTGCGGGTGAGAGGCCCTTGTCGGACATAAAAATAAATGAGGTTCAGAATAAAGATTTTTTAGGTTCGATATAGACTCTACAGGTTTTACTTTATAAATAGAAGATAAGACCTCCAGGGAACTTACGTCACCCTTGATATCCTCTGAAATGATCCACACAAAAAATACAGACACCAAAAAGTTCCAAGTTTGAGGCTCTGCGTCGAATACAAAAAATTAAAGGTAAATGGGTTTGACTTTTTGGTATGAAGAAACTGCGTCAAACTTCGCATTGCAATGGAAACTTAAAACGAGGAGGAAAGGTCTGATTGAAAGGTCGTGATTTTTTTACACGCGGGTTTCACGCGGCAGGCTAAAGAACACCTCATGCAACTTCTGCAGCAGTTGCCTCTTATAGGCAAAAAACATCTCACTGTCATAGGCTGATTTTTTCAGCAAATGCATGCGCTTGGGCACTCGTTTTTCGACTGAACTTTTCTGCTGTTTTTAACCTTGATCATGCTCGACTAAAAGCTTAGTTTTTTAAAACTTTATTTATATAACAGGACTACAAATTGTATTAACTGTTTTTACATTAATAGAAATTAACTGTTTTTACATGATTAGAAAATTAACTGTTTTTACATTATTAGAAATAAAAGCTTCGTGGCATCACGAACGCTGATGGACGAGTGGACGAAATGTGCAAGTAACCAGTATTTAGAGCTGTTTTTAGAAGCAACGCAAGTAGTATTAGTTTTCTTTTACAGATGCATGGGCGAAAATAGGAGACCGGGGGGGGGAGGGGAGGCTGCCCCCCCCTACCACCAATCTTCTCGACCTCTCTTATTAAATGTGAGGGGTTTTGTCACATAGATGCATGACAAATCCTTCATTTTGGAAATTGGAAAAGGACCAATTTTGCGGTGAGGACAGCTCAAAATTGGACGTATTTCTGTCAAACGGAATTATGTGCATTAAGACATGAGCCCTGAGACCTATAAAAATATATGCATAACAGTGCTCACGTCATAATGCACATAGTTCCGTTTGATAGAAATACGCCCAATTGCTCCTGCGGCGACTCAATTTTTCAACATTTTCCAGTCAGGCTCCTCGAACCCTCCTGCAAAGCTAGGAGAATTACTACGGAGGCTGTGTTTGGATAAAATAAATTGATGCGGAAAATGGCTCTGTCATATCGTTGGACGTTCAATTTTTTAGCATAAAACGAGTGTTTTACGTGCAAGAGAGTTTTAAAAAAAAATGTATCGAAAACAAGTGTTATACATGAGAGACTTTGTGCTGACAATTTAAGTTTGAGAACCCGTACAGCCCCTTACACTTTTAAAAAAGATATGAAATAGGACAAGAAATGGCGGGGACGAGGCTGAAAAGATACAATAATTGGCGAGACAATTGGGGCCTCGTCCCCACCTTTTGTTGTCCTAATTTATACAGGGTTGTTCAGAAGTCACGCACCACTGGATAACTTTAGTTCTAATTAGGAGATTGACTCGCGGTTTGTGACGTTTTTCCTCATATCGAGGGGAAAACTTTTTTTAGGTATTCAAGTTTTTGAATCCCTCATGGGGAGGGGGCGGGGGGCAACTAAAAATTTCAAATGGCCGCCACCTCCCCCCCCCCCCCATGGCCAGTGGTGCGTGACTTTTGAATAACCCTGTATCTATCTATATTCTCGGGCTGTCATAGTGTACAGTTATATTTAAAAATAGCGGATGTGTCCCCAGCTATCTCGCACTCAAAATCCGCTCAAACGCATTTTCACTCAGCTTTCAATGATCCTTCTAATGGAAATTTTTTAGTCCCACACCGTACGTTCATACCCATGATGATCCCCACGGATTGATTTTCAAAACGCAATCTCGCACTTAACGAAGACTCAACTTTTTTCTGTTTCAAGGATCTTTTTTTTGGCTTGCTCTCTCTTCCCCACACATTGAGTAAAATCTGTAAATGCGTGCTTTGAGTTCATCGCAGTGAAATATGTTCTGAGCCTGCGTCACTATACGCTATGTGCGTCACTTTTTAGATTGTTGGATTGTAACTTTAAGCATCGCCCAGAACTCGATCCATTACCTTTCATGAACAAGACGCATCCCTAAAAAACGCATTTTTTACGGGGTTTTTACAAACCCCTGGTTTATAAATAACGCACGCGGTCATATTTTAGAGGCCCCACCGTAACGAAAAAAAAAAAATCTTGACTGTTGCTACACAAATCATGCAAGCGCTGTCATTTCTGGATACTTTCTCCCGGGATCCCTCAAATAAAATTGTATCGCAGAAATCTTTTTATCAACGAATTTTCGATCTTTCCTTGACCGGATCATGAACATAGGCAGCAGTAAACAGCAGTTTCTTGAAAATAACCAGGCCATCACTTTTTTTAGGAGGGTAGGCATACATGTATTTTTAGTACAAATGACGCTCTTGATGGGTATAATATTCCCACAGACATACACTGAAAAAAGCAATTTGGTCATTCAATCGCACGTTCCGTGTTCCATATCATCCCAAATATTCGGTTTGTCAAACTGAACTTTCGGTTCGTGTAACCGAACGTTCGGTACATATGACCAAACTTAGTTCGTCAGTTGACTTTACCGCTTAAGTTCAGTTACACGAACCGAACTATAGTTGGGATGATATGGAACACCGAACTTCGGTCCATACGACCGAACTTTTTTTCTGTGATTTTTAGCAAGTAGACCTCTCTAAGATGCATTACGAGGGTACTTTCTCGCGAAAGTTAGCCGTTATGCAAATCGAAGGTTCAACTCCACAAATTCTTTCCAATCTTTTCAAAATATCCGGAACTTCGTCTTTGTTCCTATCACATTAAACTATGAAGCAAATGGACCTTGTTTAGGAGAAAAGAAACAAGCCACATAAGCTATTGTCAAATTTAACTGCATGGGCAATTCAATTTTTTTTACAAGAGAACATTTGTGCGGATTCCTTTGAAAATTTTACGGAATTTGCTTCATACAATGCAGAACATTCACTGTTTGCACAAAAATCCACACATCCGTTTTTATGAAAAAAATTAAATTACCCTATTATATTTGGCAATAACTGATGTGACTTGGTTTCTTTTTGCGTAACACAGTCCAAATAGAAATACCGCTTTGGAGATTACTTCCCATTGTGCAAAATTTCTGGAGAGGAGAGATTGCTTACAGATTCTACCATTTTGAATCCTAGGAGAGCCCAGTCTGGCCCCTTAAGAGCTCTGCAGCCTGATTGTTGAAATTGATAGACAAATCTATAGACAAAGATGACAAAAGGGATACGGATGGTCCTATTGGTGGAAGCGGGTGGATGCATCGTACAAAGGAGGTAGGCAATGGACTAACTAAGGGCAACTTACGAGAGACCCTATGATTATCCATCATTTCCTCCCTTAGTCTATAAGAACCACTCATTTCAACCGATAAGATCGCTCCATACTCCCTAAGTCGTCTTTGTCAATTGCTTTGTCTATCAATTTCAAGGATTAGCCCGCTGCTCGTAATCATGAGGAGCCTAATACCGCAATCACACGCTGAATGTGGCTTGAATGTGGAAGTCATCGGCCCGATGCCTGAATGTTGCGTGTGTCACGCAAAATTCAGCAACGATCCTCAGTGACCGCATCGGATAATGTCGGATTTGCCTTAACTATTCGAATAGATTTGATGCACATCTGGATGAAACCAACTCGAATTTGCTAGATTTCAGCTGTTGAGCGATGACTGTTGACTTCCATATGGATTACATTTTGCAATAAGGAACCACTATCTCTGGCTCTCCTATAAAAGCACATATCTGCATGAGGAAACCGGTAGCATGTATGTTGTTTCTAGAATGGGCCAAAAATAGTGGTTCCTTATTGCAAAATGTAATCCATATTCAGCTGCCAAATTCAGCCTGTGATTCCCGGTATCACTTTTCTGGAATCGTTACAAGCTCTTTGTCTACCATCCTCTGCTCTTTGGGCAAGAACCCTTGCTCGATCTCATAGAGCGTCTTGTTCTGGGTCTCGGGGAGCACGAACATCCCAAAAAAGACGCCCGAAACGCCGAAGGCGGCAAAAAGCCACATGAGCCCCCAAATCTTGAGAGCCGCGATGCAGACCGCGTAGACCTTGATGGCGAAGAACATGAGCACGGCTCCGACGAGGAAAGCGGCGCTGGACATGGCGCCGCGCACGCGCAGCGGAAACACCTCGCCGGCCATGATCCACGGAAGACACGTGATCCCGATAGAGCACGCTGCAATCGACACCAGGATCAAGGCTATCGGGAACCACGAAAGCGGCTTGTCCTGGACGTCGCGGTACACGTACGCGTAGGCCCCCGCCAAACCGAACGTGACGGCCACCCAGAAACTTGAAAAAGCCGTCGCAGACTTCCTGGAAGCGGACGCCGTGAAGTAGACCCCGATCGTCGAGGTCGTCACGAACTTGATGATAGACATGAGTATGGACACATTCAAGGGATCGTAGCCCGTGCCGAGGGCTTGCACAAAGTCCACGGTGTAATAGAGTATGTCGAACACCCCCGTTCCACTTTGTATGAAGTGGAAGAGGCACAAGATGAGGAAGGGTTTGTAGACCGTGGGGTGGAAGAACGAGGCGAGGGTGAATTTGTCGGTGTTTTTGGTGGTTGTTTTGAGGATTTCGAGTTCCCGTTGGATGTCGGTGGGGGAGCGGCCGAGGCGTTCTAGACTCGCGATGGAGGCGTCGACTCGACCGGCGTTGTAGAGCCAGGACGGAGACTCGGGGGTGAAGGCCTGCAGGATGAAGTAGCCGAAGCAGACGAGGCTGAAGATGGCCGACGCGATGGGGTACGGCAGGTAGCCGAGAGTGTTGGAAAGCACGATTCCGAGGGAGAAGCAGGCGGTCACCAAGGAGAAAAAGATGCTGCGCTGGCGTTTCGTTGAGATCTCGGCCAGATACACGACCGGCACCGCCTCTAGACCTGAAATACAGATTTTCATTATTTTTGGTCGGATATATGAGACCGTAAAGAGTCAAAAAACTGAGTTGTGAAAATCAAAGTTCATGGAGTAAAACAACTTTGGTTCATTTGGAGCAGTAAAGTTTTCATTGCGGGCAATGGAAAATTTGCATGCAAATTTTTTATTGCTTCGTCTGAAAGTGCTTACAGAGCTGATTTCTCAGTATTTTTTATATTTTTTTCTGATAGGGAAATAGTAAAAAAATAGATTTAAAAGTGAGAAAATGCACCGCCTAGTGACGTTATCTGGCAGCATTTTCCATTTAAACACATGTATTTTAGCAGATTAGATAATTTTTTTATATCTCCTCCAATAATTGTTCAATTCATGAACCAAGGGTATTCTTGTGTTCAGTTCACTCATAGTAGTTTCCACTTAAACACGAATTTCATCAAATTTTAGACAACTGCAAATTCTCTATTGAACGTATTTCTGCCGAATAGAACCAGAGACACAGGTGAGAAAAGAGGGGTGTGCACTTGTGCAGGGTGTGCTCGTTAGTCGAGGGCCGTGAGAATGAATGGGAATTATAAAGCGCCAGTGACGTCAGCGACAACGAAGCGCTTCGTTGACGCTCTTGGGCGGCATTAACTCATGAGCCCTGCCCACGACGCTCTTTTCCCATGCCCACGGCTCATGAGTGTCGCATTCAGTTTACACATAGTTCCGTTTGCAAGAATGTAAAATCCCACTTTTCCATTTATTTAAAGGGAATCACGCCCACTTTAACGTAGTTTCGTATGCAGCTCTCTAGAGCACATCCCACCTTCCTACTCGTGTATGGTTCCGTTCGGCAGAAATACGTCCAATTGAAGTTTACATTCAAGTAAACCAAACTTCAGTTCACGTGACCGAAGTTTTTTTTAAATATAAACTAAGACTCGTATTCTTCACGCAAGACTTCAGGTCTTTGGACTATAGTTCGGTCCTCGGACTTATAACTTCGGATACATAGACAGAAAACTTTGGAGTTCCATATAAACTGAAGTTCAATTTTGGTAACCAAGTGGTTTTTCTTTGTGTTCACTCACAAGTATTAAGAGTACGGCACTGAAACTGCGCAAATCTACTGTGCAATACGGCAACCGAGGCGGTGCGACGCAACTATTCGTTGTAGAAACTTGATACGATTTATTCTTGATGGCACGTTGTGCCACTTTCTGCCACCGATTTCCTGCTTTAAGAGCATATTGTCGCAAAATTAAAAATATCATGTTTTATGTGTTATATTTATAAAATAGCAATATTTTTTTGTTCAACTTTCTATGTTGTTCTTTAAAAAAAAGTGATTTTGTGTTTTAATTTTCGGGGTAAAATGCAATTCCACGCTCTTGAAATGGCGAAAACAAATTGAACCGCTTGTAATTTATTTTTTGGAACATCAGAGAGCGTTTTTTCCATAATCAAACTTCGCTGCATTCTGATCAGGAATTACAACAATGCAGTTTTGAGTTTACGTTGGAAGGTCGATTTAAATCAACAATTTCATCGGAGGGAATTTCGTTTTGGGTATACACTGTGGATGGCATAGTCTCTCATCCCTGATAAAAATTGGCGATAAGAGCTGCGTTTCAAAATACCATAGGAATTCTTAAAGTCGGCTAAAGAAGGCTACAGAAAATCATATAGCTGGCTGTAGAATGCGGAGAAAATCATTCGGCCGGGCTATACGAAGCGATAAAAAAGTATGCAGCCGGGCTATAGTTCCTATCGCCGGGCTTTATACTTTATCTCCCGGCTGTTGCTTTTTCGCCATCGACTATAAAAGGCTATAAGAAATTGTGTAGAAATTCTTGTGCTTTGTAAATCCTTAAGTTTGTACGGAATCACCTTAATATTTACAAAACGCACATTATATTTTCCTTTAATACTTTTTTTTTTTACTCAATTAAAATGATAATAATCCATACAGAGTGTACAAACATTTCAAAGTCATGAGTTGAATAACGCTGACTCCGCCAGATTAAATATTAGAGCCTAACACAAAGTGGAGCGGCGACGCACTGGTGCTTACAAACCTTACAGGGATACTTCACGCATTGCGCAACGCGTGAAGTATCCCTGTTAGGTTTATAGGCGCCAATGCGCGTTTCGCGCTGGCTGCCCGCCAGCCGCACCGCAATGTGCCACGGCGCTTGAAGCAACTATTTCACACCAGAGGTATTGCACAGTATCATACGAAACTAAAGGCGCTATAATATATTAGGAATGGCAGGTATCCATCAAAAGTATGGAGCTTTTCTCGCAAAGTAAATCAAGATACTACGGCCCAAACAGAGAGCAGAGGTCCAAAAACTCACTAAGTCCTAGCATCCGTAATGGGCCTGTTGCAAACTTTTGCTAGAGCAAAAATAAGAGTTGTTTCTTGTAAATAATGCCTCAAAAATCACGATGAGCGCATCGGCAAAGTCTGAAATGCACTCATAACTTCACAATCTGCGTAAGAAATTTGCGTTTTTTTAAGCTTCCCGCTTCAAAAACGATACTACGGCATAGGTGAACATTTTGTTAGAGGAGTCGCTCCATCGTCGGCGATATTCATCATGGCCGACGCTTGCACGCAGTTCCGCACGTAATTCAAGGAGAGTTCAAGGTCAATCAATTCGGGCGTGGAAAATATGAACGTTAACACACCGATTGTTATCTGGTCTAATCCAGTTCAGGTGTTATCTCGTCCCATCAAACGTGTTTTGGCGGATTGGTGTCGGCTATGATGATTATTGCCGACGATGGAACGACTCCTCTTACAAAATGTTCACCTGTGCCGTAGTATCGTTTTTGAAGCGGGAAGCTCAAAAAACCGCAAATTTCTTACGCAGATTGTGAAGTTATGAGTGCATTTCAGAGTTTGCCGATGCGCTCATCGTGATTTTTGAGGCATTATCTATAAGAAACAACTCTTAGTTTTGCTCTAGCAAAAGTTTGCAACAGGCCCATTAGTGACGTTTAGCATACACTTTATCGCCTGACTGTGAGTTGCTTAGTCGCCATCGGCTATAAAAGGCTATAAAAAATTGTGTAGCCGGCTATAGAAGCAATTGGAAATCTTACAGCCGGCCGTAGGTCTATGGTATTTTGGAACACAGATTCTACTGACAATTTTTACCAGGGATAGTTGATCTTGAAAATTCATCTTATGTTTTCAAACAGATTATTGGTACTTAAAGCAAGAAAAGTCAAAATTAATACATGATTCTGTAACTTACGAAGCTTTGATAATGATTTTCCTCTTGCGGGTATAAAATTATCGTTGGGATTCTTATCAAATCCGTTTCCTAGTCTAATTTTTTGGCGAAAGAGATTTGGTCATCAGTCATTACATGCGATTGCTTACTGATTCATCTCTTAAAACATATCTCTTTAAGCACGGATTGTATGAAATTGGCAAAGAATCTGCTTACCTAACGCAAATCCGCAAATGCTACGGCCGATATAAAGATGGGACACGTTTGTGGCACAGGCTATTATACCGTAGCCCAATCCCATGCAAACGTAATAAAACTGTATCCCCTTTTTCCTTCCAAACCTGTCGATTCCTGGGCCACCCACTAGAGCTGAGAGAGGTGATAAGAGAATTCCCAGACTAGCTGAAATAAAGGTAGCATATCATCAGCCGTGGAGGTATGATTCAATTTCAGGAACTATTTAGTTTAATTATTTTGCATCGTCAGGCACCGTGAAAAGATCCGATGTATCATCATGCTAAAAAAATAAACCACTAATATCACAATTTTTGCGATGCATCAGTAATTTAAATTTTAATTGATATTAATTTTGATATTAATTTATTTTTTATTTTTTGTAACTTACTATTTTCAGCGATTGATATAATGGTGTCGTGCTCGTCAGACACCGAATCGTCCCGTATAATTTTAGGTATTTTAGCCTTGTTTCCGCTGCTTTCTTGTTTTTGTTATACAATTTTTGTTTATATTTGAACAAATCTTAATAATTGAAAAATCACGTTTCCAATGGAATGTTATAAAAGTATCAACCGTGTGCTCTTACCCCCAAAATGTAACGGATACAATTTGTGTAATTGGTCCTTTTAAATGAAACAAATTCAAATTGAATATCGGCATTTAACGTTTAAATTATTTCATCCGACTTTCCCGCGAACAAAGTAAATCAAAACTGATTTGTGTTGTTTCTCTCTCGTGGGCACAGCATTTTAAAGTAAGAGGAGATGGTGAAACGCCTTCAAACCACGGGGAATACAATTATGATTGTTCCACAGTTATATAAATTGCCTATCTCACGGAATGAAGGCGTTCCGAATTTTTCATCAAATAAAACTGTCTTGAAGTAAGAGTCAATTTTTCTCTAACCAACTCGGTCTAGCTATACGTTATTGTTATTACCATGAGTATGAGCCAATAGAGGTGATTCGAATGACATATTTTTAGGGTAAAAGCACATACCGATCCACGTTTCTTCGTCTTGAGTGACACGAATGTGGCTGTCCTCTTTTTTCAACTGAAGTAACATAGTGGCCGACTGAGATTCAGCTACTCCGTTGAAGGCAAAAATCAGCATTGCACCGCTAGCCGCAAATAACTATGAACATAAAATTGTTTCGTAAAATTGATTTTTCGATTTAGAATATGCTCTCACAAAACTTATTTCTTTCAAATCGTAAATTTTAACGCTGCCCCTCTCACAAAAAAACGAAAACTTTTAACATATTGTCAGCCATAAAATCATGCATTCAATTAATACAATTCTGCGTTATACAGAAAATATGATTGGGACGTACAACAATTTACCCCCCCCCCCCCTTTTTTTGGGGGGGGGGGGTAAACTACTCTTTACAAATAAGTTTGGAAAAATAAAGTGATAGTGCAAAATACTTGTAGCTTCCTCCAAAAAAGAACAATTAACGACTAGTGATGAAAGAATAAACTAGATCACGAATGCAATGACTCACGCTTCACTTCTCTTTAAATATGCAATGCTTCATGGAATGACGAGTAAATAAATAAATGGATTAATTGAACTGAATAATTCGAACCCAATAGCTACGGATAAAATGATTTAGCACATGCGTAGATCATTATTCATTTATGATTCGTTAAAATATCTGGGCAAAAAATTGACGAGCAGTTATATTTTCAATTTTGGGTTGAACCCACATTTAAAATCCATGAAACGTGAAATCAAATGGCCAAGTAATGATAAGAAAATTTCAAGTATTCGTGATGTGCATTACAAATAATTATTTTTAGTCCCACTCAGATTTATGATAATAGTTGTGATTCGTCTGCTTGTGAGTCTTGGAAGTTCTTCAAACGGCTCTTGCGAACCTTTCAAAAATTTTCAATTCATAATGCTGATTACTACGATGACCGGCATAAAACTTGCCGGAAGTAATACATTTCCCCTGATATCACACATCTTACTGTTCCGCATGTCTTTCAGGAATTATTTCATTCATTCATATTGATTTTATTTCAAAATGATGAGGAAATTCCTCGAAAGCATGAGAATCCTGGCGACCGAAAAAATGCCTGCGCAGTGTTCACATCTCATCAATTGAATGAATACTCGTATTTCGCAACCTCATGTAGCACATGTACGATGCATGAGTAGTGCAAATCAAGAGACAATACCGTCATCATCAGGGTTTAGAAAGAGTGAAAAATTAAGAGCTCCTCAGTGAGAAGATGGTCTTGAGTGTTTCATTTTTTATTTATTTATTTATTTATTTATTTATTTATTTACATCGATACATGCTGGCAGTGAAGTAAGTCTTACATATTAATGAAGATGATGAAAATGAGTGCTGAGTGAAACTTTGGATCAATGTATCACATAATTATACCACAGACAAGGATTAATGAACTACAGGCACACCTAAGGCCTTGTCCAAGCGAGCACAGTTTGCGTCAATTAGTTCTACGAACTAGAGGATTCGAGGAACAAGTCATATAAGTCATGACAAGTTCCCGGAACCGTGCTTGCGTGGACAAGGCTTAAATAGAGGAATCGTTTAAGAGATGTAATTTTTTCCCCCTTATTCCTCTCTTCCTATGGTTTAATGAGGAAGTGAGATTAATTTTGAACAGGGTTTCGATTTCCCTCCTCAATATGCTTTGAGGGCCCATTTTTCTCCTCATTGGTAAAGCTAGGAAGAAACATTCTTCAATATAGAACCAAGCACTGATAATCTCAAAGTACGCATTGATTGAAAAGTATCAAAATAAATCATCATGGGTGAATTTCCGTGGGTGGATTTGGTCAATTTTTTCATCGATCGACAGGGTTGCAAACCAAAGGAGAAAAACGCTCCGATGCAGTTAAGAAATAAACTCAGCTGCTTGATGAACTTTGGCCAATGTTTGTATCCATCCTCTTTCCAACCCACCTCTGGAGGTGGGTCGAGAATTTTGGATGTGGTCGTCATTGCAGCCAGCATGGAAACCTAATGTTGTAAGCGCGCGGAGGGAATTTCATTTTGTTGTAACGGTGGTTGGCAGTAAGTTAAAAACTTCGACCAAATCGACCCGCAAAAATTTGCCTCATGATGATGTTTCACTTCTATTGTAAAAAAAATAAGAAAAAATCTCGAAATCATTTGAATCAGTGAGAACGAAAACACACCGACTCGGCAACTCGAAAATGCTCACTTTCATAAAGGACAGTTAATTTACAAAAAGGTCATCGAAACTGGCGCATCTGTTCCAACTTGGTCCTTTAAAGTGTCCACAACTACTTGTCTTTCAGCATCAAAAATCTCTTTCTTAAACTAACTTCATTGCCTACCATGCAGTTCTGCGTGTGTCTTGATTAGCTTCATTTTTCCGAGTTGGTGTGTTTTCGCTCCAACTGATTCATTTGTGGATGACCCCTGATTTGAGAGTGTCCTCAGTCCTTCACTCGCCATTCCGCCGCCGGTCCTTCTTCGGCAAGAACCCCTGCTCTATCTCCCAGAGCGTCTTGCCCTGCGTCTCCGGCAGGAGGAACACCCCGAGAAGCACACACAGCACGGAGAACACCGCGTAGACGAAGAGCAACCCCCAGATCTGGAGGATCTGCAGACAGAAGGCGTAGATCTTGACGACGACGAACAAGGCCCCCAGCCCGATGAGAAACGACGCGCCGGTCATGGCCCCTCGGACCCGGAGTGGGAAGACCTCCCCGGACATGAGCAAGGGTAGACTCGTCACCCCCAGGGCGCTGGCCACGATGTTGATGAGCATGCAGACTATCGGGAACCAGTCGTAGGGCTTCTGAGTTGTGTCCCGGTATACGTAAGTGTACACACCTGTCCCAGCTAGGGTCACCGCCATCCAGAACGCCGAGAAAGCCGTCGCGAACTTCCGCGAGACTGATGCCGTGAAATAAATCCNAATTTTAGACGATTTTTCGTCCAAACCGGGCCTCAATATCTTGTTTCGTTCGAAAGATATCGAGGTTCACAGGTTTTGACTTCCACCCCCCCTAGCGCCCCCCCAAAATTTTTTGGGGGTCTGAAAATTTGGGGAAAGAAGCGCTCCAGTATTAGTACCTGATAGACGAAGTTTGAATAAGTTTTAGTGGGGGGGCGAAAAATGTCGTTTTTGCATACGGCTCTTTTACCAAGCAGTCCGGGACAGGGGTACTGGAGAAAAACAAGGGGGGGGAAACGGAAATGTATGTATGTAAAGTCGCTTTTATAGCGCGTTAGGACGCTCTGCGACGCCAACCCGCCACAGGAATTGGTCATGGTAGAGATAGTTCCGGAAACTGGCATCCCTTCATCTCTTCACGGATGCCCTCTACCCACCGTTTGCCTAGACGCCCTCTCCGTCGCCTCCCTGAAAACGGGGAACAAGGCTAAAATACAACACTAAAAACCTGAGACGTTTCGACTCAAAACTGAGTCATTTTCAGTTGGGAAATAAAATATAAATGAAAAAATATCACCGAAGAAAAAGGGGGAAAAAACATCACTACATGGATCGCATTTAGCAAAAAGGAACCAGCGTGATTACAGTGTTCTAAAAATGTTGCTTCTTCATGATTATCTAAAAAATCTCCCAAAATAGCAAATTGTTTTTCCTTCCCACCAAACAAATGTTAACTCTAGAGAAAAATAATTGTGTAAATTTGAATACTGCACATATATTTTAAATGTTTCTAAAAAAAAAATAAAAAGTTGCAAGATTTCAAAAACACTGTAATTGCGATGGTTCCTTCTTCCTAAATGCGATCCACATGTAGGTGTCAGATTTTTCCTTCGATATTTTCAATTTTTAATTTATTTTCCGACTGAAAATTACTCAGCGTTGAGTCCAAACGCCTCGGGTTAGTGTGTTGCATTTTAGCCTTGTTTCCCGTTAGCCCTCTTGTTTTTCTCCTATTGAAATCACTGGAAGGATAAGTTTTCCTCCTAGGAGAAGATTATTCATTACTGAAAAATCGAGTCGGAGGTGATACACAGTCGGCAGATCCAACATTTTAACCAAATCATGGAAAGGGAAAGGAATCTGAGTTAGAACTTTCAAAACCAGTCATAGGTAGATCTTGCATGGGCGGAACTAGGAACACTTCGTGGGGGGGGGGGCATAAGGGGCACCTCATCAAGAGGGGTCATAAGAAATTTGATCCAATTACTATTTGGACCGCGTTAAACAGAAAGGAACCAAGCCGCATCAGCTATTGCCAAATTCAACTGGGCAATTTAATTTTTTACATGAAAACGGTCGTGCAGATTTTCAAGCAAATTTCAGGAAATTTTCTCCATAGAGCGAAGCGAATTCCTAAAAATTTTCAAAAGAATCCGCACAAACGTTTCCTCGTAAAAACATTGTAATGCCCGATTAAATTAGGAAATAGCTGATGTGGCTTGGTTCCTTTCTATTAAATGCGGTCTATTTAAGAGGTGAAAGATGCCGGGCCTCTGAGCGTTAATACGGTCCTGAATCTGGCTGAATTATCTTGCAAATATCGACATTGGCTAAGCATTGTCGAGATTTGCCGTATTTCATTCTTGTTTATAACATGTATTGGTGCTCTTCGGATCCAACAATTTCAACGTGTGATCGGTTGATTTATGTCATGCTTCTTAAGATAAAAGTTGTATCCGCTGTCCAGACTTTAGAGAACGTCAAAGTTTTAATTTCGCCTGCTTTCGTTCGAGAATTTCCTTATCGAGACTATGCTGACGAGCAAAAATCATGACGTAATCGTGGTAAATTTAACGGAGAAAATGTAAAACACTTAAACTAAAGTTTTAGTTCATTAGCGCACGGTTTACGTGCACGATAATGAGGAAGGCTGTACGTTATCATGACGGTTTACAAACCCTAATGGGACAGGCTAAACCCGTCAGTTTCCTCTCGTTAATTATCATAAGTTTTCACGTGACTTTTCTGGGATGAAAAAAACGTTATCAGGTAAGTGTGAGCTTCTTAATCGCAATAATTATTCGATTAGCTTTACGTTCTGAAGTTCACGGTAATCCTCAACTTACTTTGATGAAATACTCTTAATGATGCAATAATAATCATGCACAGCTAATATCACTGAGTTCAACTCAATCTCATCCAAATTTGGAGATAAAAACAAAAAATTAATAATAAAAAATAAAACAAACTTGACCGATTTGCAAGATCTTATGAATTACACGTAACATTTTATTTAAAAAAAATAAATACCTTGCAACGGAGAGAAGAATAGAAACTGGAAGAGGGTCGTAACTTGTTCCTAAACTCTCAACAAAATCAACTGTATAGTACAAAATATCGTAAACGCCAGTTCCACATTGGAATATGTGGTACATCGACAGAATAACAAACGGTTTCCAGACCGTAGGCTCCAGAAATGCTTTAAATTCCAGCTTTTCATCATCTTCCTTTGATGAAAGTTTCAGATTCTCAAGCTCGGCGACTATCCCGACATGTGATCGCCCCAGCCGCAGGAAGCTCTTAGTTGAAGCGTCAATCTGAAATAAGTACAAACCACTTAAAAATCTGAAAGACAATCCTACTCTCCGCAAATTATATAGCGCTAAGGGCGCTTGTCGTGAAAATAATATGTTGTAACCATTTGGGAAAGTTTCACAAAAATCGATAAAAGATGAGCCGCATATCGCACGATCAATTTACACGGTGGTAAACGACACCGATCAACTTTCATGCGGCAAACGGTAGATCGAGTCAATGGCAGAGGTCCGACATGATTTAAAAACTTTAAAAGCGTACATCTTCATTGATATGTAATGTTGATGCTTTTAAAGCAGTTTCATTGGTTTTTTCGTAAACTTTTCCGTGAGAAGCACCCCTAAAAATTAAAATTGTGACTAGATAAACGTAAAATTTTACAATTTTTGTGAAAACATGTCTATTTGGTTGTCACCTTGGGTGACACGGAAAACTTTCAGGGCACCCCCGGAAGTTTTGCTCCCGAACAATTACGTATCACAATGCTGAAATTCGTACCCTGTTGCCTGCGCCAATGATTTTCCTTCAATTGACCGGCTATGCAAAATAACTGTCTAGACGCACGAATAGTGGTATCAGAATTTCGCATTGAGATTACGCAGTGGGTTGAAGGCGCTCTTCTGTATCGTTCCTGAGTGGCCCTGTACAACTATGTTGACCAGAAATTATCAGAATTTCGGAGTCCTCAATCGAGCCGTAAATTTGAAAAATGTCCGAAGAACACTGTTTTACGTTCCAAGAAACGCAAAGGGGTTAAACTCCGGCCTTATTTTTCGCTATTTTCTTGTTTAATTGATGTGTCTACGGGATTGTTATCGTTGTTCACACATGTTGTACACACCGGTTTCTACGTATTTTTCCACGCAAAATCGAGTTTTAATGTTGACGAGTCGATCTATCGATGGATACATCGAAATTTCAATATTCTTTACGGAAAATCGACGATTTTTTTAGATTGAAATTGCTCATTTTTGATTCATGGATGACTAAATGAACCTAATATGACTGTAGCACACCAACCTCTACGTATTTTTTCTTGTACAATCGATTTTTAACGTTAACGAGTCGATATATCAATCGCTTATATCGAATTTTTGCGACTTTTTAGGAAAATCAATGATATATTGGTATTGGCATTGAAATTAGTTATCCCCCATCCGAGAACAACCAAATTTTGGGTTTGAACAAATTTCCGGTCGGGTCGATTTCCAGTTCAGTCAAGTTTTCGATTGGGGCACATTTCCGTTAAGTAAAAATTAAGATTTTCGCTCTCCGGTCAAGTAAACTTTCGGGTGGATAACGAATCCCGTTGATCGTGGTTTCGGCTCCTTATAGTTCTCAGGTGGGATGCCCCTGGCTTTGGCTCCTTAGGGGCCACGTGGACGGCCCCCGGCTCTGGCTCCTTAGGCGCCAGGTGGGCAGTCCCNGGGGGGGGGGGGGGGGGGGGGGGGGTTGAGCCTTCTGGATGTCAGGGGGGCATCGTTAGGGTGGAGTTGCAGGTGGGTCACCTCCGGAGTTTTTTCTCGCTAAGAATATCAAATGATGTTGCTTAATTCGTACCCCGTTGCCTGAAGTCAATGAATCGCCTTCAAATGGCCGGATATGCAAAATGACTGCCGTGACGCACGAATAGTGGTATCAGAATTTTGCATTAAGTTTACGGATTGATTTGAAGGCGCTCTTCTGTATCCATTTTGAGTGGCGTTGTACAATGAAGTTGACCAAAAAGTTCTAATTTTTTGTTTTTAATCGAGCCGCATGTTCGAAAAATGCCGAGGAAATGCATTTTGAAAAAATTATACGACTGTTTTTGGTCTCTACGTCTTATTTCTAATAAGAGAGCTTAGGCGGCTTGATCAGATTGTGTATTTTAAGTCCCTTGGTTCGGTCATCGTATTTTAAAGGGAAACTGAAAGAGTCCCCGTTTACAAGATCGCAACTTACTCGAAAGCGGTTGTGAATTAAACAAGTTTCGCACGGATAAAATGAGCTTTCTTTGATTAACTGTGTATAATCAAAATTGAAGAAAAGGTACTTTGTCCACTGGTCCATTAGGAAAGCGTAAAGCATGGATGGATGGAGCATCGATGATCAATTAAATCTTATCTGATAAGGAATTTTAAGTGTTAAACCCTTTTCTCAGTCTTTTAATGATCCAAATCCGCAAACAAAAGGTTTAAACACTTATTCCTAAAGTGCGTTTTTCGTGATGAAGTGTCAATTCTAAGTGCCGAAAACGCGAATCTCGGCATTTCTGCCGTATTTTTTTAACAATTTAAGAAGTTATTTAAAATACTGATGGAGTCTGAAAAAAATCTTATTTCTGCTATTCTTAAGAATTATTACCCTTCTACTAACAATAAAGAGGAATGTAGACCGTTTTTTTACTCTCCTGGAAAATCGTGCTTTCCGAGATACGCACTTCTGTAATGTCATCACCGTAATTCCGAGGTAAGTTTGGATTTATCTTTTTCTTATTCTTCTTCTTCTTCTTCTTTTTTTTCTTTGTTTTTGAAAATCTAAATTCCCATAGTAACTGACCTGCCCAGTTTTGAACAGCCACGCAGGTGACTCTGGAGCGAAGCAAACAACAGCAAAGTAGGCAAAACACCCAGCGCTAAAGATGGCTGAAGCAATGTACCAAGGCAGATAGCCACCGATCAGATAAGTGAGAGTCACGCCTCCAGAGAAGACAACCGACATCATGGAGAAAAAGCCACTACGCTGACGTTTTGTGCTGATCTCTGCCAAGTATACCACTGCTACCACTTCTAGTCCTGCGACAGTGCATTTTATTATGATAAGAGTTTTTACAAACACTGGGATTTCCCCCGGAGTTGTGCTAAGATAATTGAGGGGTTTGGAGAATAGGTGCGTAAGTGCAGTTTTTTTAAAAATTTATCTCAATAATTTCAATTAAAACTATTCTTGATACACATTTTGTGAAAATTCGCTCCCAAATTCCAATTTTCAAGCATCAAAACTTTCTTTCAAACACTTTCTTTCTTCTTTCTTCTTTTCAAACAAACCTTCTTTTCGTCGTAGTAGTAATTTAAGTAATTTTTTATTTTTTTGGTTAGTCAAATAATTACGAATATTGTTAAAATCGAAATTAGTATTTAATCACTGCATTGAAATTCCCAAACATTCAAGCGGCTTGAAGCTACCTATAAGGCTCTTTTTAACATAACATTTATGAAAGAGAGGAAAGGAAGGGAAAATAAAGAGAAGAAGGAAAAGAGGGGAAAAAAAGAGATGAGTTTAGGAAGAGAGGGAGTTAGGAAGGGAGGGGGGGGAGGAAGTTGGGGAAAGAAAAGGAGGGACGATTGAAACTAAATAATGCCCAATTAAAGTCTCTAATTTTTTAAATAATTTGAAGCAACTCAATGTGTCCTTTTTCAATAATTATCCGTAAAAAAAGGAAATAAGGGGAGAGAGATTGCGAGAACTAAGTAATCAATATTGTCCTAACAGTTCCATAGTTGCGTATTTTTTTCTTTTTAAATTTGGCTTGTTTCCTTGTTATTATTCAGAAAAATCAGTTTACAATTGGACTGAGTTAAGCAGAAAGGAACCAACCCACATTTTGGAAAAAATTGAGTTATGAGTGGTTTTGAACTCAACCACTGCTCTACTATCCATCACCGAAAATTCAAAGTTTTTGTTGGAGCAAATTTTGCAGAAATTGAACTTGAAGTTTATCTTTTACATCGAGTCTTATGCAGGAGCCAAACTTTAAACCTCTTTTTCTCGGTTCGATCCCGATGTGGCTTGGTTCCTTTATGTTCCGTCCAATTATAGGTCTCCATAGGTTTTAATTAGAAAATAGTGTCCAAGTGACACGAGGCATTTCCACGTACCGACAGCAAAGGCGCAAATGCACCGCCCAATGTAGATATGATAGACTTCGGTTGCACAGGCGATGACGGCGAAACCTAGCCCCATGCAGAGGAAGAAGAAGAGGAGACCTTTCTTCCTGCCGAAGGCGTCGATGACTGGTCCAACCAGGATTCCTGATGGTGGAGCCAGTAGAATCCCCAGACTTGCTGGAACAAAGTCCGTGTCCGGCATTAATTTCCAAAGCAAGTACTCAATCAGTTAGCGTATTTGCGATTTATCGAATGATCCAAAGAAAACCTAAATAATCGATTCTTTATATAGCTTAAAATGGGGAAATCGATAATCGATCATTCACGCCTCGCCGCTATTCTCAAAATTGAAATAAATTTGCGTCGGAGACTTCGAGTTGTGAATGAGCGGCGCACGGTGGATCGAGTCAATAGAAGAGTTCAGACAAAATTCGGAAACTTTAAAAGTTTATAACTCCATTTATACAACATTTTGGGGATATAAAAGTGGTTCCATTGGTTTCCTCTTGGAATTTTCTTCAATAAGCACCCCTTCAAAAGTAAAATGTGACGAAATAAACATCAAAATTTGCAGTTTTAGCCAAAGATGTCATGTCCGACCTCTTTAATTGACTCTATCTACTGTGCGGCGGCTGACGTCCATCTCACCCTAAGGAAGAGGAAATCCAGAGCGCCTTCAAATGTTCGTGTATGTAACAAGGACATCCCCTGAGTACGAATAGTTGTATTCGTTGGTTGTGACCCAAGTCGCGTCGGAGGCTGCTGGGCGACGGTGCTTACCTATCTTTTTTGTACAAGTTATTATAAATTATCAATCGATTCTTTCATTCTTTTGTTTTGGAAGATGAAATACAATGCTAGAAAGTTTAAGGAAGTTTGGTTTATATATATTATTTTGAGTGACAGGGAATTATCATTGACGATTATATGCATGGGTTTCTGACGCAAAGATTTTATTTCCTTTTTTTTCTGTAGTTAAGTAAATTAAATATCGCCATAAACAGAGAGTGAATAGAAAGTAAACTGAAAGAATAGAGGGAAAGAAAATGTGGGAAAGAATTCTAGTGGCTCATCAAGAGCAATCCCTTATCCAATTCATTTCTTGGAAGGACTGCTATAATCTGATGGGGTTTCATCTGCTCACATTGTTCAACATTAAGTTTGAAGACTTAAATCGTGAGCCAAAATTTTCTACCTCCATTCTCTCTGAAAAAAGTTGCGGCTTATCCTAGTTTTGACCAAAGAAATGTATGACACCACAGGGCGCCGTGTGCCGTATGTGAACCATGTATTTCACGCACTTCTATATTTTTAGTATAAACTCTTTGTTTCTAATTACTATTATGTACATCATTCACACGTCTAAATAACTTGTTTATCATACCCAATTTTATTCATTATTCTGATTTAATTTTTTACGTACCTATCCATGTTTCTTCGTCTGGACCAACGCGAATGTAACTATCAGGTTTTTTCAACTGCGGCAACATTACGGCTGATTGCGCTTCAGTCACGCCTGTAAACACGAATACCATCATCGCACCACTCGCAGCAAATAACTGGAAAAAATAAGCCTCGTCAGAAAAAATCAAATTGTAATCAAGCGACTTACATGATGAAGTCATTCGCAAAGTGTGATTAACTGGATATCCCCCATGGGCAAAATACCTCCGATGATTTTTCTCGGATTCCCGCTAAATTTAGACGTTACTTTACATAATATTTGAACGAATGAAAACTGTCGAATATCATGCTGATCATTTTTTTTTAGCAAAGGAAGCCACGTAAACAAGCTTCTTTTTCAAACTGCCCGACATTTTGCTAGTTAGCAGTTATTGAAGTGATGAGTAACTCTTTCCTTGCGGTTATTGGTGAGTATCCCCAAACGCCGAATTTTTGCTTTTCTTTCGTATATTGCAGTATAGTTCTGCCATGCTAAGGAAGAGCCCCATATGAACATGCGAGAGTTGCCAAATTTCCCTAGATTAAACATGTATTTTTGACAACATTCGAGCACATTTTTCTTTGAAATGTTCAGACATTTTAGATTAAATAGTGTACAAAATTGTCTGAACATTTTGGGGGAAAATATTCACAAGTTTACCAGGAAATTCGTGTTTTACCAAAGGAAATTTGACAACGCCTGAAGGTGCATACGGCGTTTTTCCTTAGCACGGCAGAGTTGGGGTGAGCAAGGTAGGGCGATGCACGAATTGACGGGTGGATTGAGTCAGTTGAAGAGATCGGACATGATGTGGAAACTTTAGAATATTAAATTTTCGTTAATTCAAAACGTAGACGTAGAGGGTCAAAAAGGGATTGCATCAGTTTCTCTCGGTAACTTCCCCTCACAAAGCATGCCTTATTACAATGTGACGATATAAGCATCAACATTTGCAGTTTTAGGGAAATTTCTATGTCCGAATTCTTCATAAGATTCGGTTCACTGTGCGACGTCTTCACTTCATCATTTTCGTTTTTGTGAATATCTCAAAGTCAAAAATTTTAACACGAACCGTCGATGACACATGCAATCAAAATACTGTGATCAGAGCCCCGAGCAGGCTCCCGTGTTTTTTTTCAAATTTCAATGATTATTATACAACTTCCTTTACTCTAACCTCAGGTAAAATTCTCGACTTTTAAAGTTACTTTAACCTTAAAATGTTTGGTACACTCACCACAAGCGCAGCATCCAAGTTTCAGAAGCAAGCATACGTAAAGGCGGGATTAAAGAAAATCGGTCCAGTCGCTCGCTGATAAGGTTTAATGGACCAAAGCTGGATATGAATCTTTCTCCACAAATGATGCACGGTATATTAAAAAAATATTTATATTTATTGCAGCTGCTTAAACAATCACAAAGCACAAAAACAAGTAGGAGAACTCAGCGATGAAGATGTCTCATCAAGGTGGAAGCGGCTAAGCACTTTGGACCATTTTACATGTCCAAGAATATAACAAATCACCGAGATGCAGTCAGTTAGAGGGAGTTTTAAGGGTCTCAAAATCTTTTGTCATTCCGAATTTCCCTCTAGAATAGAGGTTTTTGTATTTTAAAGAATTTTGAAGAATTAGACACCTCATGAGTGATTTCTGACAATGAACACATCCAGAAAAAATGTGAATGTTCATTGTCAGAATCAGGGTTGGACTGGCAGCACTGTGCGTTCAAGCCTCGCGCCATCGTCATTGCGCCTTCAATTTTACACATGCAACACGGACATCCATCAAGCATGAATAGTTGCATCTCTGCGCCGTCATCAACGCGCCTCCTTTTTCTTGCTATTTCTCCGTACTGTGTTTGTTTCCGTTTGTCTCATTTGTATTTGTAATGGTGCTTCGGAAGCTACGTGAGCAACACAGCCGTAAATAGGAAAGACGCATTAGGGCCTCGTCCTTAACTTTTTCTCCCGAATCTCAGCGACACTTTATCGGCAGCTTAGCGCGCGAAGTATTGAGAGCTCGCGCCTCGCACCATCGCGCCTTCAATTTTTCAGATACTACACGGACATCCATCAAGCACGAATAGTTGTATCTCTGCGCCGTCGTCAACGCGCGTCATTTCCCTTGCTTCCCTTGCTATTGTCCATATTATGTAGGTTTCTTTACTCTTACGTTCTCTTCTCTCGTTCGTTTATGAATTTTCCGCATTTTTCTCGGTCATAATTTTTCTTTTTCTTATTTTGCCATCTCTCAGGAAAGCACGTCTTTGGCACGCCAAGAAGTCGTATCTGCCAACAGCGGACTGGTCTTATGGCCAGCCCGGGCCTAGTCAGAGTAGGTAATAGAAAAATGAAAGGTTACCATCATGCTTTTACATTAATCGCCAGTCATTAAAAACAGCACGATTTACAGGTTATTATTTTGTTGTCACTGGTGGCACAGGGCACACTCTGCAATTAGAAACTACCATTTCTAGCTCAGCTTAGGAACATAGTACGTACCATTAGTTTCTCTATGCACATGAGTGTTTCTATAGATGAATTAGACATTGTAGTTCCGAATAGCATAATAAAGTCAAATTAATGCAGACATGATTCGCTGTACCGTTGAACCAATTCCGTGGATCATTTCATACCATTCCTTCTCGGTCGCGCCATTAACGTACCCAATACTGATTCAATGTTATGTTTTTGGCCCAGCCATCCATTTCTAGTTTTCATATACACACTGCAGATGATTTAATAAAAAGTTTTAAAACAAACTGTCGCGAAGAGAGATTTTGTTTGGTGCATAAAGGCTGCATGCACAGAGAGCTGGGTCGTGTGCAATATTTTTTATACCGGCTCGTGTCTACAAAATCGAAAAGTCATGGATTCACCGTTACAAAGGTCAAAAGTTAATGGACTGTTTCATGGCGGGGATGGAAGCAGAAAATGGAAAAACGACTGGAAACACATGGAATATAAAAAAGAAGAAGCTAAGTATCGTGTGTAATATTTTTTGTACTGACTCGTGTTCGCAATTTCGAAAAGTCATGAAATCACTGTGACAAAAGTCAAAAGTTAAATTCCAATGGGGTGTCAAGATTTCATGGCGGGGATGGATGCAGAGAATGGAAAAACGACTGGAAACACATGGAATATAAAGAAGAAGAGGCGAAGTAGTGTGGAAATTAAGTAGACGGAGACTATTGGAAATCGTACTGTCTGATGTACAGTTTCTTAAACGATTTGCGAAATCACAAATCTGAGATAACCCAATCTTCCGCATAAGGAGCCTTCATACCGATGTTACCATACCCAAGTAGCATTTTTCAATGGAAAAATCGCGATTTGTTGCGTTTTTATCGGCGATAAAATCGCTAAGATCATTAACATCTGAGCGATTATCCTCGATCTTGTTGCAATAAAATCGCGATATTATCGCCCGGCAATTTATAGCGATATATGGCGATTTAATTTCGATTTTACCGACGAAAATTGATCGCCATTTTATTGAACAAAAAATTGGGATGCATAGCGATTTAATCGCCATAAATCGCAATTTATTACTCGATAATATTGCGATAAATTTTCACCGATATAATCGCGAAAATCAACCGATAAAATCGCTGTTTATTGCGATCACTGCTACTTGGGTAATGTCTACCTCGATCGGCATTTAAACGAACGGAAAACAAATTAAATTATTTCTAGTGTTGTTTAAATATTTATTTGACAGTTGTTCTAATTTACTTGCCGCATCCCGTACAATCGATCAATTCTTGAAAATAAACTTACGGTTCGAATCCAACACCGCCAGGATACCTCCTCTCCACATTCTTCATCGTTCACTGGTTTTGCACCGATTTCTATGTCACTCACTGTTTTATCCTTGGTTTCCTCGTTGCTTGATATTTTCCCACGGGTCTCCTCGTCGCTCACCGATGACGTCATCGTGGGATTGACCGAAATAATCAATGCCGTTTACTAAGGCGCGAGGAGTAACTCATTTCACAGTCACGCGAGAACCAGCATCCTTGACAATGGAAGTGGAACTGGAGCTTGTACATTTGGAAAACTTCTTGACATCAGACAGTATGATTTCAAGTGGAGGATTAACGATAGGTTAGGAATTATGAGACACTCCAACACAATGAGGTGACGTAAAAGTTGCAATTTTTTCGTAATCCGATTTATTCTATGGCGTTTTACATTAAGGCGCTTTTTCTTCAGTGAAGCAAAAGTCTATGCCGGAGATAGTTCCGTCAATTTTTAAGTGAACGGCTCCGTCTGAATTTTAATTTTTTTTTAATTTAAGGAAGGAGGGGTTATTCAATAACATTCACGTCCAATGTATTTTATAATTTTTTGCAAAAACTACAATCAGTGCATATTTGGCAACATTCGAAAATTAATACAGCGTTTCTTGTGGTTCACGGATGTGAAAAGAAAACCCTGTATGATGAAATTTACTAACTGCTGTTACAAATAATTGAAGAAGTATGAGCTCACTTCGTCGAGTGCAGAGTTGCAGAGCACTGTTTTGCTCTTCGTTTCTTGCAATAATTTTGGAGTTTTCAATTGTTTTTGTTATCTTATCTTACTGCTGAAATTACTTTTAGACAGGGAATTGACGAGGTACGAAAACATCACACTTGCACTTTACTGAAAAAAATCTTTATCCGTGGGGACAAATTGTAACAGGTGATTTGGCTGTAATGCCGAGCACTTGACCACATGTGCACTTGTGTTCTTCTGTAAGTAGGGATTTAATATGCCCTTGCCAAATATTTTTCAACAGTTTATTCGGTTCTAAATTCTTCTTATTCGATAAAAGAGGTGCCGGTGCTTATTTCAGATGATTCCACTCGAGCGACTTACATCATTTACTAATATAGACACGGCTATTTTCCAATTTGTCTTATCTCCTCATAATTGCACTGTTTTCCAGGAGCAGAGGCATTGTGTATTCTGGAGCGCTTTATTTCAATATATATTAAAAATATTCTGCTCGATAAAATTTGACCACGCATATAAACGAAGATGCATTAAGGCTCATACTGTCTGTAGTTTATGTTAATACTTGTTCACCGCCTCTTGCCACTAAGCTATTCAATATTGAAACTTATTGATTAAATTGGGGAGCATTGTCAGTAATCGATTTTTCATTCTAGCCCCCCTGGGTTTCCCCTGAAAGCAAGGGAGGCGAGGGAAAGGACGCGCGTTGACGACGGCGCAGAGATACAACTATTCGTGCTTGATCGATGTCCGTGTTGCATCTGCAAAATTGAAGGCGCGATGGCCCGAGACGTGATCTTACAATGATCTGCTCTATGCTGCCGATAAGGTGTCGCTCAGATTCGAGAGGAAAAGTTAAAAACGAGACCAAAATACGACTTGTGACGTATACGATCGACCAAATACGATCCTTGATAGATTTTTAATTCTAGCCCCTCTTGTCCCCCCTCTTTCAATGCGGGTAAAAAAATCCACTTGGGATTTTCCCCTGATTCCGACCCCAACTTCGGCAAAAGTTGGATAAAAAACATCTTAAGTTAATTACGACATTATTCAAACATCAGATTGATGCCATTTGTGCGAAAGGGTCATATTCACTGTACGTAAAAATTTTAGAAGATGTGATTCTGGAGCCATAGTTTTTTGGAGAAGAGATGTATGGGGGGGGGGGCTGCTAAATGGTGTATTAGATGAAGTTTCCAGAAAAGCACAGTGTCCAGAAAATTGCGTTTTCTGCATTAAGCTCAACGCAACGGGCGTTCCCCTTGTACGACAAGTAATGGCCAAGGAAATGGAACTATTTGTTGAAACGGATAAGATTTTCCTCGGCGTGATCTTTCCCTGCTTAGTCAAAAAGCGATTGGGAACCCTTCGCAACCACGCGAAAAATTCACCATCTGGACTCCCGCTCATCCAAATCCTAGCGCCGCGACGCCGATGCGGGAAAGATTTGTCGTTTCCCCAGACGAAGGAGCGTAACTCCATTCCAAGGTAGTAAAATTTACTTACAAGATTCAATTTTTTACAAGGACGTACTCGCACAATTTTTATCCGAAATTAGTCTGATTTTCGCATGAGATCGGACAAAAAATTAGGGGCCGTTCAAGTTTTACGTAACGTACTTATGGGAAGGGGGGTTTGAGCCAGCGTTACGGTGCATTACAAGGGGGAGGGGGGAGGTTAAGCCCAGCGTTACATGACAAATCGAAACCGGGGAAAAATGACTTTGCAAAAAACCTGCAAAAATTGAAAATCCCGCCCTTTTTTTTTTGAAAAATTGGGAGAAGGGGTGTCCGGCCACCGTTGCGCGATTCAAGTAGGGGGGGGGTGTAGGGCTGCGATACGAATGCGTTACACGGGGGAAGGGAGTCAAACATCGAAAAAAGTGCGTTACGTAATACTTTAACGGCCCCTCAAGGAAATTTTTCGCTGGAAATGCCCGGTAATCTCTCGGTAAAAATTCAATTTACGGGAGGAAATTTGGCAACATTGAAGTGTAGTTACGCTCTTTCGCGCGGGAAACGACGGATCATGGGAAAAGGTCGACGCGCGACGCGACGGGCCCGGCGAAAAGAGCATTAGGTAAATAAATATTTTTAGCGTCGCGGAGTCCGGAGCCCGGAGTCGCCCGCCTTAATGAAAAAATGAAAGATCATTTTTGAGCGTTTTCCGCGGGACATGCGCCCACCATTCGAGAGTGCCCCGGGGGTGGGGGTTGGGGGGGGGGGGGTGGCGCCCGGCGACGGGATGTGATTCAGTGGCTGCGGATCCGTCCCCCGAGAGCGACGCCGAATCTGCACGACCGTCGACGCGCTCACGCTCGAAATACGCGCGCGTCCGAGACTCATCACGCGAGTGAGGATAAGATTCCGCCCCGCAACGCGTCCACTGTCAACAAAGTGGTCCGCTGTGTTTTGAAATTTTTATGCCCGTATATTATTCGTTTTGGTTCCTCTACGGTTAGTCTTCACTTCCTTGACCCCCCCCTCCCCCCNTTTTTTTTTTTTTTTTTTTTTTTTTTTTTTTTTTTTTTTTTTTTTTTTTTTTTTTTTTTTTTGTAGTAAATTATTTTTGTAATTCTTTCTTACAAAAGCCTGCAATTCCATCTTTGGTGGCTTGCTGCGGCTGGAGACTAATGATAACCATTAAATATTTGAACGATTCTAGTTTTTGATTACATAAATTATCTTTTCCAACCATTTTTTGCCCTGGAGGAAACCATCGAATCGATGCGAAAAGAGATTAGCCCTTGACAAACTATTTGGAAGTTCAATTTGTTAATTTTGAAAAATTTTCGGCCACTATCTCTTTTGGCAGTGAGAATTTCGAACTGATATAATTATTTTCCGAGTTTTTTCTCATCAACATATGACAATTTAAGAAATTTTCCGCGACTCCCTAAGTTTTTCATGTAAATTTCAAGCTATTCCAAATTCACAGCTCCTTTTTTTTAGAATTCGGTTTCCTCTCTTTAAGTTTTAAAATTTTGTACGTAGCTCTCATGATTTAATCAATAACACAGTTCTCTTCAATGTTTTCCTCTGAAAAAATCAATCCTTTGCTTTTCACTGAACAACGATCATACCGAGACCAAGGAGGAATTTGCTCAAATAGTACTTAGTTTCATAATTATACCTATCTTCCTCTCTGAAGAGCATCAATCTTAGCTGTACCGTGCCGCTCACTCACAAAATTGGCTTTGTTCCCACATACCGTCCGAGGATTAACCCTTCGGAGATTTACAAAGCAGCAAATCAACTTAAGCTTCCTCCGGTTGGTTTGCTTCTATTTCAGACCAGAGTACAGATGAGACCTCTTAGAACCGGAAATGCGCCCCCATTCCTCCCTTTAAGTAGTATTTTGATTTTTTCAGTAACGCAGTGAAAGTTGTCACCAAGCCTCAATATTCTAATCAACTAAGCTTCTTCCGGTTGATTTGCTTCCATTTCAGACCAAAGTACAGATGAGACCTCTTAGACCCGGACATGTGACCCCCTCCCCCCCATTCCACTCCTTTAAGTAGTTTTTTTTTTTTAAATTTTTCAGTAACGCAGTGAAAGTTGTTACCAAGCCTCAATATTTGGGAACTTTGGAAGTGCCGAGGTTCTGTGGTTTTGATGTGCGCTCTTTCACGTTGGATACGCGGAATACGGGCCTCACGCCTTTCGACGACGGAGAAAAGTCCGGGGAAGAGTGAAGAATGCTGGTGCGGAAGCCGTGAAACAGGTTGACAGAGCCCCCGCTCCGAGGCGGAAAGTGAGGTTATGCCGGGAGGCGAGTGGCGCGAAGTTGCGCGTGTGGAATGTGCGTCTGGCGAGGGTGCCGATGCCCGGTGCGTGCGGGCTTTTGAGCTCTAGTTCGCTTTCTCTCGAGTGCGGCCGCGCCTTGCGCCGGGGCGAGCGCCGCGACATTGCTCGCATTCTAAATGCCCCATATAAATGGTTCCAAATCTGCGTTTGACAGACTGCCAATCCTCGGTGAGTTAAGCTGAAATAACACAAATATAAATATAGTTTACTCGGCTTCGGCCGTTTGTGGCACACTTTGCCCTCCCCCGGCTCCCGAGATCCGCCCTTGCCAAATTTTTTTTTTTTTTTTTTTTTTTTTTTTTTTTTTTTATATCCAGGACATTCCCCTTCTAACTTTATTCAACAATTTACATAATATAAGTTCTTATAGTAATTAATATGAGACAAAAGATAGAAATTAGTTACAAAAAAGAAATAGAGATAATTTACGTATAGTTGCCAAATTGTGCGAGACGCTTTCTTAGCCGAAACACGTGACGATCGAGAGGGTGAGCGGTCTGCGGGTTGATCATTGGAATTGATGGACAAAGTAATAGACAAAGAAGATAAAAATGGATTAATTGATTAAAACGGGCACTGAAAAAAAACTTCGGCCGTGGATGCCGTAGTTACGTAGTTATATACATATACCGTCCGTGTTCCGGGCTCAGAAGCTGAAAGATCCGGCTGTGGCATCCGGGGTAGTAGAAATTACGGCTCCAGCAACAGGAGCTTTTGGCCTCTGAGCCCAGAACGGACGGTATTTCATATAACCCGTTTTTTTCAGTGGGTGGTTTCATTGCTCGGACATGGGAGGGAGCTAGTTTGATCTCTCTGTTTTAGAGCAATATCGTCCGATCCTTCATCCTTTACTTCTCTCTCTGTTTGCTCGGAAATAACTGCTCCTGCGAGCTGTTTATTGAAATTGATAGACAAACTACGGACAAAGAAGATAAGAGGCTATGAAGGGGTCCTATTGGTGGAAGCGGGCGGTTGCAAGGCGGACGGTGGACAAAGGCGGTGGGAAATAGACTAACTAACGGCAACCCACGAGAAACCCTATGCTCAGTCCATCATTTTCTCTCTTAGTCTATAGGAACCACCCACTTTAAATAATAGGATCGCTCCATACTCCCAATGTCTTCTTTGTCTATTACTTTGTCTATCAATTTCAACAATCACCCGGCAGGAATGAGCAGGATTCACATAGGGTCCTTATCACAGCCCGTTGCTTTGCATTGGGAAAAGAAATCTCAAGATTTTAGCACACAGCGAGCTGCTTATCGGCATTTTTGAGCAAAGCAGTAGACAAAGATGATAAAAGGAAAATTTAGCCATCCTAGTGGTTGAAACGGGTGGTTTCTGTAGACTATGGGGAAAATGATGGACTAACTTTGGGGTCTTTCGTAGGTTTCCGTTGGTAAATTCATTACTTAAAACGTTTGTCCATGGTGACCACACGCTTCCACCAATAGGATTGCTCCTTGTTATCTCTTCAGCTTCTTTATCTATCTCTCTTTTTTATCAATTTCAATGATCAGCCCGTTGAGCGGGAGTAGAGAGTTGCCTTTCGGGGTATGTTGCTAGGGGAAAAATGAGTGCACAAGTACGGTACGTAAGACGTTTTTCGAAAATTTAAAATGAAGTGTAGCTTAACTTAAGCTTAAGCTTAGCTTAACTTAAGCTTAAGCTTAGCTTAAGCTAACTTAATGAGGTAGCGATTAGTCATCAGAGGTGCATTACGAAACACACATTGGACATGCTTATTGCTTATGCTAAACGGAAGAATGTGAATATACATCTAATGAAAATGAACTGTGTGCGTAGGGTTTGCATGCTTCATAGTTTCTTTTGATTTAATTAATCTGCGTACCGTTCGTTTCAGTATAAAGACGCCAAATATGAGACGTCGATGACGCCTATATATTCTTAATGTCTTTACGGGGTGCTTGTTTTCTGAGTGTTCCTGTTCCTTGTTCTGAGTGCGTTATAAGGGAGGGGCTGCAAAAAAAAAACCGATTTTAAGCGTTACGTATTTTATGAACGGCTCATAAAGGCACTATTAACGCTATACAGTGCACATAATGTCTCAGGGCTAAACCGCCGGTTTGCAGATGAGCGTTTTCTACGGGTCATAACAAGACCTTTGTGTTGAATAATGTTTTTTCAAAAAGTTCCTTTCAATCCTACGCCTTACATCTCAAATTTGTTAGGAAATTGTCTTTTGCTGACTTTTGCAAAGGTTTTGAGTCAATGAACCACAAGACAGGGTCAGAAATTCAGCACCACCATACATGCTTCCTGATTGAAATTTCACGTAGCATATTATGGATATGTTCATCAAACATTTTCAAACTCACTTTTATTAATTATTTATCGAGAATCTGTGCAGTATTTGACACCGCTGCAAAGCGAGCCGCGACTCTTAAACTGTCCCAGCAATGTTGCCAAATAATGAGAATACTGGGATGAATGTGGTTCCTTTTTACCCACGCATGGGTGTGTGGGCGGAGACAGAAAGAGAACCTCAACCAGCCGGCTCGCGAAAAGTGGAAACTCTGGCTTGTGCAGCACCACCGCACAACCCTTGAAAATCGTTTGGTAAATAAGTCAATGTTAGATGAACTTGTTGAGCGCATTACTCATCGCGTATAGCTCAACAGCCAATACGAATTTAATATGGGCGCTGTTGCCCCTTGAGGACTTTTCATAGTTCGAGTATGGACTCCACGGGGTCTATTCCTGATTGGCTCAGCCCTTAGAGCCGATGATGCGATTTGATATTTAATTCAATTTTTTTCATTAAACCGCCCATGTCCATGAATTCGTTTCAAACAGACGTTTATTTCATAAACCGAACCAAAATCAGCCTGACTACATCAGACGCTTGATCATGCTCTTTCATGTTTCATTTTTTAAACAGAGAGCTATGTATCACAGTATCACTGAAACGTGTAATCAGGGCAGCGGGCCGATTATTGAAATTGATAGACAAAGCTATAGACAAAGACGACAAAAGGGATTCGGAGGGATCCTATTGGTGGAAGCAGGTGGTGGCAATGGACATAGGAGGTAGGTAATGGACTAACTAACGGCAACCCACTAAAGACCCGACAGTTAGTCCATCATTTTCTTCCTTAGTCTATAAGAACCAACCATGTCAACCAATAAGATCGCTCCATACTCCCTATGTCTTCTTTGTCTATAGCTTTGTCCATCAATTTCAATAATCGCCCCGCAGAATCGTGGTGTGATTTGCGATTTATCGATTGATCTGCCATTTAAACCTATAGGAAAGGATCGATAGTCAGAGTGTTGGCAACGAACACCTTAAAAATCGATTCTTTTTCACATCTTCATGTGGGGAAATATCGATAATAATTTATCATTCACGCCTCTCCATTGATCTAGGGTGAATTCAAAGAGAGTTTAAGGACTTCAAGTAGTTTGGTTCTCTATTTACAAAAATAAGATATGAGAAAAAATTAAGCAAAGTGAAATACAGATGGACCGCATTTAGCAGAAAGGAACCAAGCCACATCAGCCATTGCCTCATTTAACTCGGCAATTAAATGCTTTAAAAGATAACGTTTGTACGGATTTCTTTGAAAATTTTAAGGAATTTGCTTCGCGATATGCAGAAAATTCACTGAATTTTGCATAAAAATCTGCACGACCGTTTTCATGTAAAAAAATTGAATTGCCCAGTTAAAGGCAGTCGCTGATGTGGTTTGGTTCCTTTCTACTCAACGCGGTCCAGCTAGACATCTGATTTCTATTAAATCCGTCCTACTCCGATCAAATTTTGAGGAACGATTTTCGCGCCTGTTACTGTACATCGGGAGTTGGAAACCGACAAAAATCGCAATAAAATGTAAGATAAATGGTCGGCGCCTCGTATTTGTTCATACTAACGTTTACTCCAAAGGTTCATTCGAAACCACAGTGAGTAATGCCCGAATCTCATTACGGCGACTAATTTGCCGGGAATGAACGTGCTGGGATCAATGATGCGAGAGAATAATGTCGGAGGCATGCAGCGTGCCTTCAGCCCTGGATGTGTCAAATTGTGCATCAAATTAATGGCGGGTTATGCATCAAATCGCCCCCAGCAGAAAGGGGTCAGAGTGCGGCGCCAATTAGGCCACGGCGATAGCTGACCTACTCAAGCCTATCTTCAACAGATGTGCTCCGAGGCTGGGACCCAATCCGAGGCACCCCGTGAATATGAAGTTCTCAACTCCAGGGTCGACCTTGGTACAAATTTAAAACTCGCGCGCCTCGCCGAACGCGGGGCTGTCAAATTGTAAGGAATTCCCTGCGTTTTCCCAGAGAACTAAGCGCCACACGGGATTTTCAAGTTTTTTATAAAATTTGGCAGCCGACAAAGTCTACAGGGATGCCAAAATGAGGATGGTTTCCCGTTTGTATGTGAGGAATGATCCATAGAGTAGCATGGTCGCAGTGAATAATGACGATCTGCAGTTACTTCAGAGACTTTCAAAACTTCTGTTAAGTATTTATGGGCTTTCCATAAATTAGGTAACGCTCCAGAGGGTGGGTGGGTATTCATAATTTGGTGATCGAGCGTGTCAAGAAAGGAAGGGGTTTCAGGCTCAGCTTCACGTAACTGCATGTTAACTGGATTTCACATTTTTTTGTCATTTTACTTTTATTTACTTTTTTTCTTTGGTGCTTAAGTATTTTTTCCTTTTTATTTTCATCTTTCTTCAAAATTTATGAAATTTTAATTACCAATTATCGTCCTCTGCATCCAATTTTTCGCCGAATTTCTTTTTAACTGCAATCGTTCCTGAAATACACATATCGACGGTGTAAGTCGGCAATCACATAACTCGTTGGTACACGGACTTTATGTCCACTTTTACGTCCACAGACTTTTCGTCCACAGTTCTGAAGTCCACTAAGTTAAGTCCACAAATATAAAGTCCACTAAAGTCAAATTCAAGAGTCATATTTTAGTCCGTGTGTAAAATTATATTGACAATGTCGAAATGAGAAAATTAAGAGAGAATGAGATGTTGTTATCGTAACTTATAAAATGTGAATGATCTTAAAATCATGAAATGTTAATTTCTTCTTTTGATTCATCTTTTCAAATCGTCTTTGGTAAATACTTGGTTTCATTTCTATCCTTGAAATTTCCGATATAAAATATGCCTTAAATG